GAAAAAAGATCGTGATAATTTTCACAGTGCGGTTTTGGCGCGACGCCGCAAAAATCGCAAAAAATGGGCTTTTTTCCGATTTTCGCAGCGACAAATCATTTTTTTTTTTAAGTGCGACAGAACTTAGAGCTACGATAAATTATCAGGTCTTTTATTGAATAGAATAGTATCCTACCGGGAAGTTCTCATCATCATCGTTACTCTCCTGGAACAGCAAATTTGCGATGTTTTGGAAGTATGCGGCGAAGGATTCGTGGAGAAACTCTTGGCCCCAATGGTCGGCTGTCACTAAATCTCCGAACCTGAAGACGAAAGTGGTCAGTATTTGATAGGTGGTAATGTATGTTGAACATACTATGCATGTATATACAGCCTGTCTTGAAAATAATGTGGATTTTTCGTAGCAAAGCGTCCCGTCTTGTCGCCGCCGCGCACCAACCCCAGCCGCCGCTTGCCGTTGCAAAGAGGCGATCGGTGATTTGAAGGGGCAAGAAATCCACATTATTTTCCCGACAGACTGACATATGTATGAGTAAAGACGGTCCTTACCATTGATGAGCAATTTCGTGACACATGAGGGAACGCTTGGTGTAACGCGCCGTGGCTGGCGTCGCAAATGGATGTTGTGAGAGGAAGCGAGTGTAGACGATCAATCCCCAGTTCTCCATCGCGCTCGAGCTTCCCATGTATAGCATTTCAATGTTATCTGGAAGATTTTTATAAAGTAATGTGTGGAGAGAGATCGAGAGAGAGAGAGAGAGAGAGAGAGAGAGAGAGAGAGAGAGAGAGAGAGAGAGAGAGAGAGAGAGAGAGAGAGAGAGAGAGAGAGAGAGAGAGACGCCAGAGAAAATATTTTTTCTTGGCCCTGTGTTTAGACATCTGAATCCTGTTTCTTTTATTAGTCTGTCGGGAAAATAATGAGCCCCCTTTCTTAACAAAAATCGCAAATTTTGTCGCAGCAAAATCCAACTTTTTTCATTCAGCGACGCGATCTTCGCAGCGACAGTGCGCCCATTATTTTCCCGACAAACTTATATCATGCCTACCGAGTTTCGGAAGACTGTACGGAACTCCGACCAGCTCTTCCATCGCATCCACACAGTGTGCTCCAGTCACCGCTGACTGGTTAAGATAGTGGCTGATTTCAGGGAAAGAAATTGAGCTCACCTAGAATTTGTCAACGTTTCAGCGATTATGCTGTGAACCTTACCGGAATATTACGTTTTGTGTGACGAGTAACCTTGTCAAACTCTCCGACAGCAAACGCAAGAAGATACGACGACATCAAAGGTGTCTCTTTGAAGGTAATCTCCTTGTACTCGCTGAAAACAACATTAGTATTTTCACAAAGTGCATGGACATTTTTTCGTTGTCGCACAGTGCATTTTGAACCTTTTCCCATGCTTGTCGCCAACGCACAGTGCATTTTTCTCATTTTGCACTGTGCAAACCACAATAAAGCCCTTTGCACTGTGCAAATTCCCGGTGCCGACAAAGCTACGTGCTACGTTGCTTTTGTCGCAGCAATATTTTGATGCACTGTGCAAGGCCAAAAAAGTGAAATGCACAGTGCAAAATGGGTTTTTATGGACGGTGCGGACTGCGATAAAATTCCATGAACTACAGGATGTCCCAAATAAACGCATGTTTTCTTCCATAGGTCCTGACGCGAAAATGTTTAGGTCAGGCCAAAAGATTTTTGTACTACTAAAATCTCCGTGTTTTTTGTCCTAGGCGTTTCAGTTTCGTGTTCATATCGATTAACTAACGTGGTTTTTTAAAATGTCAAACAAAGGAACTACGATTTTGTCACAATTTTTGAGCCGTTCAAGTTGTTAACTTGCTCGCTACAGAAAGGACGTTGTGTCAAAAGTGATCACGCGATGAAGGTATATAAAAATACTATTCGTTTGTCGTGAAAATAATGAGCACTACGTCGCTATCGCGCTGTTAAACTGAAAAGCGATTTGAGTTTGCCGCGACACACTTTATTTTCTCGGCGACATATTTTCCGTGCGATAGAGTGCTCATTATTTTCCCGACAAACTAATGAAGATATACCATGAAAATGACATCCATCTACAAAGAACTTGCCTAAAATTCTTTTCCTCCTTGACTTCAGCGACATTGTGAAAGACGTCGGCATTCTTGGGATACCTCAATTTCAGGTTAAAGACCGCTTTGAAATAGGGATCGTCAAAGTTTGGGAAGACCTTTCGCGAGCGGAAAGGCTCGAAAAACGTCGCAATCATGGTCCGTTTAACCAGTGTTCCATTCTCGTTGCGGCCATGATAATTACTGTAGTATAATCCCCCATCAATTGAAGGGTTAATCGGCCCTGAATACTGGATTTTCAGCAAGTATTCTCTGTCTTTCTTCAACGGAGTTACGGTCGAAATATTGACCAGCTGAGCGCTCTCAATTATATTCACATCGTACAACGAGACTGGGTAATTCTCCTCGTCGTCGAATAACCAAACACTCTGTAAGTCCAGGTTTTGACTGTTTATTGTGATGTCGCGGACGTTCCGGACCGGCCTGAGCTTTATCTCAACAAGCCCGTCGAAACGCAGCTCCTTTTCGGCATCGTACTTGTAGCCGGGAAACTCAAAGTAAGGGTGGAGTGTGAGGTGGTAGCTGATGACTTTGAAATCGCGGGGAAGCCGCTGAATTGGAGGGTAATCTGCGACGTCCAAGCGGGTTGGAACCCCGTTTATTGAGTGCTCTGAAAAGAATTTTTGGCGCTGGAAAAAGCATTACACTTCTGTGAGTTTACAGGCAAACTGTAAGAGCGTCATTTTGCAAAGTAAGCCTGCAAGATCCGTATTAAAATCATTGAAATACCCTGTACTTTCAGTAATTTTCACACAAATTTTGCACTTTCCAGAAACGACTACCTTTGGCAGGTGCGAAAAATTCCAGAAAATCGACTAGTTTTTGAGAGTTGAAGACCAAAAGTTTGCATTGCATCTGATAAGATTAATAAATATTATTTGTCAATCTGTCGGGAAAGTAATGAGTTGCATAGAAAACCGCATCGCCGCCGAGAAAATGGATTGGGTCGCGGCAAAATCAAATTGCTCACATCAGCGTTGGGATTGGCGCAGCGACATTGCATTCATTATTTTCCCGACAGACTGATACTTTCATATAACTCCTACAAAAAGTCATTTTTTTGCGCAGCATTCAAAAAGCATGGGCTTAAAACTTTGTGATTTACTCCTCATTTTACATGCTCTCTCTTAATTATGTATACATTTTATGCGTATATTTTGATTGACGCAGTGGCAAAATTTTCCTCCGAAACAATGGCAGAATTTTTGACAAGTCAATGTGCATCCCACCCCTTTCCAAGCTTTATACATACATATATTGTGGTATACTTACTCAACGGCCATGCGCAGCAACATGCCAACAACAGCAAGCCCAATAAGGTCACTTTCAAGTCACCCATCTTCAGTCCACTCGACCATAAACAAATATCGAAACGACTGATCAACAAGCCTCAACAATCAGCACCAATCACAAAGCGACAACAATTGGAAAACGAATACAAAGGAAGAATAAAGTCGCCTGAAGCGCTTCTTCCACAAAATTATAATATTTTTTTGTACCCTCTTATCAGTAAATTCGTGACCAAAATGCAAACAAACTTTTATCGACTTTCTCGCACGGAATACGAATGATGACCAGCGGCACAAATTTAATAGATAATTCATTTTTTTTTCACGAAGATGATGTAATCAGCGGCTTCTGTTTCTGTTTAAAAAATTGCATAATTCAAGGGAGGTGCGGCAAATTTTTCTACGAAATCTGAATTTCTTATGTACTGTGCTTCCTGAAAGTCGCCGGACTAAAATCAGCGACGTTCAATGTGTGAAAACAAAAGTTTTCTTTGTCGCTAGCATCCCGACTTTTTTCGCACAGCACAAACGCCAAAAATCAGTCCGGCGACTTCCCGGGAAGGGCTAATGCAACCATATAGCTTTTCTCTAGACTAACTATATAGGGACCTGATCCAGTGGCAAAAAACGTCCCATTTTGAATCCAGGAAGCATCAAAGATGTGGCAAAATACCTCTACAAGTGAAAAAAGTTCAAAATTTCAAGAGCCCGCCAGTTCTCTTTGTGAAGGAAATAGCGCGCCCTTCAAAACGAAGTTTTTTTCACTTGGAGAGGGAAGCATTTTGCCATATTTTTGATACTTCCCGGATGCAAAATGGTACTGTTTTTGCCACTGGATCAAGTCCGCCACTGTATGTGTATGTCTTTTTCTTGGCCCAAAAAAGGGAGCAGACTTTTTTGCCGCAAGTTTTCCGCACTTTCGGCAAGAAGTCTGACGTATTGAAAAGTCGCTGCGACTCAAGGTCTTTCAACTGTGACGTTGCAAGTTTTGCGCTAGCGACAGGCATTGGACAGTGCATTAAGTGGCAAAAGTACACGGAAGAAACGTTTTTGAAAAGGCGTAGAGGTACTGAAAACAAGTGTAACGGGTAGATGAGTGACGGGTTGAAAAATTGGTCGCCTTTTGTGATTTTATGGAACACCTTGGCCGTTTTAATCGTTGATCGCCCTTGTGAGTCCTCAAAAGCTTTTGTCGGAGTGAAGCCCTCGTTGTTTTCATCCAAGTAGGTGTAAAAATTGTCATTGTAGTTGCTGATCAGTTGAGTCATAAAATTGTTTTGACCGCTGACATGAAACAAGCTGCCGACATTCACACAACTATGCATATAATAGACGTGTAATATCGTCTTTCAAAAAAAAAAAAAGCAATTCGATTTTGTCGCGACACGATACATTTTCCCTGCGGCGAAGCGATTTTCAACAGGGTGGTCATGATTTTTCCGACAGCCTGATAACACAGCAAATTCAAGTCCACATTCACACATGATGGCAAAGGAAATTTTACTTGACAAGCAATTCGACAGCGGCAAAATAAATTTAGTTACAGCAAACTACGGCAAGAGTTCATGTCCACCTTTCGTCTCCTTCTCTTCATCATTAACAGTCCTCATCTCCACTGACTTGCGGGATAATAACAGGGCCATGAGGAAGAGGAATTGGTGGCAGAGTTGCAGGTGTTTGTTTCGCAGGCGTTGGTTTGTGCACCGGCTGCGGCGTGTTCTTGACGACTGGCGCCTTCTGCGGCTGTGGCGCCGGCCTTCTTGTGGCTGGCGCAGCGGGCCGTGGAGCGGGCCGTGGAGCAGCAGGCCTTGGCTGGGTGCAGCCTTGGTCATTGTCCTTCCAGGCGTCTTGGATGTTCGTGAAGGTCACATATGCGCCATTGGTACAGCCGTTCCGGGGGCTTCTGAAAATTTCAAAAGCAATGAATCAGAGTCAAAATTGGCGCAAGTGGCAAGTATTAGTCTGTCGGGAAAATAGTGAGCACTTTGTCGCAACAAAAATCGCAGCGCCAACGAGAAAATTAATTGCGTCGCGAGAAACTCAAATTGCTTTTCACGTCAGCGACGCACGGCATTCTGTCCTTTTGAGACACAATCGATCTCCGCGACTTTTTCAAGTTTTATTCCGAGTACGCTTGCTTTTCCTCTCCATATCTCGCTAGCCGTTTGCGCTAGAAGACTGAAATTGGGCATGACTGTAGAGTAAAAAGTTGGCTTTCAGAAAATATAAACACTGTAACCGGACGTCAGCGACATGACCAGTGCAGCGACATTGTGCTCATTATTTTCAACCTCTCACTCCGAACTAACGGCTTTCGAGTTGGACTAGGTGTATCAAAAAGCGTTTATATGTATTTGCATCGTGCTTCCGCAGCAAAAAAAGCACCGTTCGTGGGGTGCATTTGCATTTATTCACGAACGGTACATTTGCTTAGTTGTCGTTTGCGGAGAGGCGACAGATTGCGGCAATGTCTTCGCATGATGCAGATGTGTCAAGACTTTTTAGCCCAAAGAGTTAGAGGAAAATAATATGGATTTGTCGCGACAAAATGTCTCGCCTTGGCGGTCGTTTTTTGGTGCGACGGCATGCTCTTTATTTTCCCAAAAAGATGATACTAACCTCAATTTTTAAAAGCTTCCAAAATCATACCTGAAGTTCCTAAAGACCCTTCCATTCAACGCCACAGTGAATCCACCATTCACTTTCCTTATCTCGTAATGATAATCCTGATTCCGAGCAATGTTCAACGGCATGTTCTCGACATGATCCCAACCCTTACGCGCCATCCCCGGCCCATACGCAATCTCGTAGTGGTGCATCAGTCCGCGGACCTGTGGATGAACAAACCACATGTGGATGTGGAAGGGCACCTCATATCTCTCCCGGTTGCCCCATTGATAGTTGTTGTCGACATTGTTGTTGAGTTGAATGACAAAGTCCTTTTGGTCCATGCGACTCCGGCCTTTCACATGGAACGCCTCGCCCTCCTTCATACAGCCGCAAAATCTGTAGATCCTCGGCCCATCGTAGTTGGCCCACGCCGTGGCCAGGCACAGCGCTGAAACGAGCAACGCCCGCATCATTGTCCCCGTTACAAAAGTCTCTGAATAATATAGGGGACATGTTTTATATACGAACACGTAAACCCATAAAATATTATGGAATTCCTTTCACAGATCGACCATAACAATGTGTCCGCTGGGCGGGCGATTTGAATAATGGCGGGTGTGGTAGGAGGACCATCCTAGGGTTAATAGGTTTCTAAACGGATGAACACCGCGGGTTCATACAGCGTTTTTTACGCACTTTCACAAACAGCATGGCTTTTGCTGTTTGTGAATTTTTAACTTTGCACGGTGTGGTCGAAATATAGCGGCCCACTTTTTCAAGAAACGATTTTCCCGGCAGACTGATGAGTTGCTAAAAATTACAGCGCAAATTCTTCAGGGAGGCCTGAGTATTCATCGACTACATGTATAGTTTATCAAGAGGCCATTAAAATGAGAGTAGTCGAAAAAACTTTTTTTTGACAAAGTAATATTTTCTGAATTTGACATCGAACAGGGTGACGTTTGTATAGAATATTGTAATTATCAGTCTGTCGGGAAAATAATGAGCAAAATGTCGCTGTGCCAGTCGCGTCGCTGAAGTAAAAACCAACATGATTTTGCCGTGATATACTTTACTTTCTCAACATGAAAAATGCTGAAAAATCCACTGGAAACTGATGTCGATGACAGTAAGCGCTCCACAGCCGGAAAACCAGCTGATAATGGCGATGGCAAAGATGGCACCCTAAAATTTAGGAAAATAGAAAATCACTGCTCATAATAAGTTGCCCGATACACGGCTGGCAATCTCCTTGACTTCAAAATTGAGATAATTTATTACAGCAGGGGAAACAAAAAGCGGCTATATACCCTTAAAAATCGTTTTTTTTCAGCCCGTAGATCTTCAAAAAATCTTCAACAGTCGTCCTGCGAAATCGGATCGATAACTACAACCGGCAGACGCCCTGGATCCAATGTTGGCCTTGGGAGCGGACGTGTTATTTTCGGAGCTGGTGGACGCGGAGCTGGCGCCGGCCTATGCGCTGGAGCCGGCCGTGGTTGAGGCCTTGGCTGGGGCCTTGGCTGCGGTCTTGGTGGTTGGGGCCTTGGGCAGTTGTTGCGATCAAAGAACTGTTCATGAATATTGGTCCAGGTAACGTAGGCGGCGTTGATGCAGCCGCCAGCGCGGTTTGAGCTGAAACGGCAGTATAATATTTTCTCTTTAGCTATTGGGAGATGTCCGTCTGTCGGGAAAATAATGTGGATTTGCCGCAGCAAAAAATTTCTCGCCTCATCGCAGACCAAATCACCAGTCTCCTCAAGCTGTTGCGAAGTGATGATGGGAGATTCTAAGGGGCGACAAATCCACTTATTTCCACGACAGGCTGATATAATTTTGTTTGTAAATATACGAAGTGGAAGTCAACGTAATATAGGTTGAATAAGCCGCCGATTTTATAATTTTTGAATTTTTTTTTGAGGCTTTTGAAGCATCCGATTTGAGGGCTATATGCAAAGTGCATGTCAGATGCTTGTAGCAGTTTTATCGGTCTGTCGGGAAAATAATGTGGATTTTTTTGTTGCAAGATGCCTCGCTCGGGGATTTGTTTAGCAGTGGCGCACAAAATCCCCGGCCGTCGCAACGATGAAAAATGCACATTATTTTCCCGACAAACTGATAAAGAAGTTTTTGATGACTCAAGAAGTCAATCTGTCGTCTTGAAACCTACTTGAAATGATAGATCTGCCTTCCATTCAAGAACACCTTGAATGCCATTCCAGCCTTTTCAATCCTGAAGTAGAACGGTTGATTGTGCCGCACCAGCAACGGCTTCACATCCACCCGATCCCATTTGGCATGCCTTCCCAACGCGTAGTCCATGTGCGGCTTCAGGAAGGGGTGATGAAACCAGACGTGGAAGTGGAACGGCGCCTCATAGCCCTCTCGTTGTCCCCACTTGCCGTGATGAAAGTCTCCCGCGTCCTTCAGCAAATGGATCACAAAGTCGGGTTTGTTGTTGGGGCTCACGCCCTTCACGTGGAATGACTCGCCATCCTGCATACAACGGCAGTGTTTCGTGATGCCCGGCGATGGAATGTCGGCCACGGCGAGCGACAACGTCGACAATAGGATTATGGCCTTCATGCTTGAGGCCACAGAACAATTCTGCAGACTGTCTGGCCAACTTATACGGTGATTATGACACGGGCGAATTTACATTAGAAAGAGAGACTCGTAAAAAAGCGATTAAATTATATGACACGGTCTATGGATGGTATTGCAAGTTTTCATATTTTATGAACGAGCACATGTAGTGATTTGATTCTGCTGATCTTGCGCTGGGTACCAAGGTCCATCATTTGATGCACGACGTCGAAGAGACGAGAGATTTTGCTGCGACCAGTCTACATTATTTTCCCTACAGAATCATCTAGATACACATATGGCTCGGGACTTCTAAATCTCTCCGCAAGGGTCCATCCGAACCTTGCAAATTTACAAGGGAAGTACTTGAAGTGTGACGCTCAGATTTTGATGAAACTTGGCATAAATTTAGAATAATTTTTTCTAAGATATATGCGGGAATCCTAGCTCGCGCTTTGCAGAAACAACCGAGATTTTTAGATCGAAAGTCGGCGAAAATTTGGGACTTTTTGCCGAATTTCGGCACGAAAAGTTTCATGCCTATTTCAACTGTAAAGAATAATGTTTCTACAAAAAATCAAATTTTTCCGCACGAAACTGCCAAAGTTATGGCCAAAAAGCGGTTTTCTCTCTGACCGCTCTCCACGTTGAGCGTGCTCTCTCGGCGGCAAAAATCGTTCAATATCTCGGCGGCGCCCGCAAAGCGCGAGCTAAAACTTTCAGGAATTGATATTTAGTCCATACCCGATGTGTGTGCAAAATTTAAAGAAAATCTGAGCGTCACACTTGAAGTACTTCCCCTGTTAGTACAAAGTTAGAAGTTGCGCAATCTGACATAACATTGCGCAATTTCTGCCTTTGTAAGAATTTCTGCCTTTCTCTGTTGCCTCCTCCTTTTTGTCAACTTTTAACTTTGGACTATATATATAATAAATTTGAAGGGTTCGGATGGACTCTTGCGGAGAGATTTAGGTCTCCGTCAGAAAATAAATTTCGACCGAGCATTGCAATTTGCACACAGCCCTTGTAATAAAACAGACTTTATTTCCATTTAATTGAGAAAAAAATAATAATAAATACATGTATTGTTAAAGAATGCTTCCACAATGCAAGGTGGGTTATAGGATTAGTGTGAAAAATAAGCTCAATAATGCAACAAATGCAATCAACGTTGGTATTGTCGCCAACCAAACAAGTACGATGTTTCTCAACGCTTTCCAATTGGTCCTACTTTCTTTTGGGATTGCGCTGACAAAGAGGATTGCAAGGAGCTGTAACATGGCTTACAACACCCCGATATTTTCGACTTACCAAGCAATACGATATAGAATGTGGGACGTCAAAGTCACAGGCCATGTTGACGATTACAGTTGTGGCGAATTGAGCGGCTAACGCCGTGATTACCGACAATGTTCCCAAGTCTTTGGAAAGGGTCTTCAGGACCGAGCCGCCCATATAATAGATTCCCAGGCAAATGACTGGCGTCACATAGGAGGCCAGTAAAGGAGAGATGGGAACTTTTTCGTCCACAGCTTCTCTTCGATACACCATCATGAGGATGTTCAATGGCATCACGGAGATCCTGAACAGCGATGATTAGAATGGCAAGGCGTAATGAACAGACTGTGCTTTCGACCACAGTCTGTCGGGAAAATAATGTGGATTTTGTCATAGAGAAATTTCTCGTCGAAGTCGAGAACCAAATCGCAAGCCGAGGCTAGCCGCCGCAAACCGATAAGGGAGATTCCAAGGCGCGCAAAATCCACATTATTTTCCCGACAGACTGTTACTAGTCCGTCCGAAAAGTCGCACTTTCGAAAGGATGTTGTATATCAGTCTGTCGGGAAAATAATGAGCAGAATGTCGCTGCGCCGATCGTGTCGCAAAGTGAAAAGGAATTTGATTTTTCCGCGACACAATTCATTTGGCGATGCGATTTTCGATGCGACAGAGCGATCATTATTTTTCCGACAAACTGATATCAATCTCTTATATGATTACCCACCGAATATTCTCCACAGACTGAAAGAATGCCATGAAGCCGCACACAAAGTATAATGCGGCGCCAAACGAGAAACGCGAGATCTCGTTGATGCCCGTCAAGTCGGAGGTAATGTATTTCCGAAGTTTATGAGACGCCTTTTCCTTCATCTTATCCATACCCTCCAGGTTGATGTGGTTTGTAATTGGAGTCTCTCCGTCCAATGAAATCATGAACTTCTTTGGTAGCATGTTGACTGAAATAAAAGGGTAAAGAGATTCGACGACAAGACAGCTCAGATTCGGAGCTCAGCACAACGGAATACTAGCCCTTCTAGAATGGCACGAACTTTCCGATCAAACCTAATATAAGCAAAAGTGACTTACTCTTCTTGACTTTGAATCGATTGACTCGGAAAGACTTCTCGTCCCTCTCCATTCCATGTTCCAGAGCTCTTTTCTGGACATTATCTGAAGTATTCACGACGTTACATACCGACTTTAACTTTGTGGGAAAAATAGTGTGGATTCTTCGTGCCTTGGGGTCGCCCAGCGCTTTGCGACGGCTAGCCGCGGCTATAGATTTGGTACGCGACTGCAACGAGGCAAGGAATTTTACTGCGACAAACCCACACTATTTTCCCTACAGACTGATAGTTTAACAAAATTGTGAAAACTTACGTTCAACTTGCGCCTGAAGCATGGGTTCAATGAAAAACAAGACCAGCAAAAATATGATCAGCCCCACGGTTAGGCTAGCGCATAACGAATAGTGCAACGGAAGCGGGGTAATCCCCAAATCCGAGGACATTCCATGCAATAATCCATACGTCGACAACGCCGAAGAAAGCAAAAAAATCACTGATACTGTCCTTGTAAGTCTCTTGTTTGAAAACTCTTTTTTCGTAGTTGTAAGGTGGATCAAGTAGCAGATAGTAAGCGCCAAAGCTCCGGATATTATTGGGGTAAACAGGAAGGAAAGCACTAAAACAAGTTATAGGGGAGGTAATCCAAATGAGAAGCTCAGATTTTGATGAAACTTGGTAAAAATTTTGAATAATTTTTTCTATGATATATGCGAGAATTCTAGCTCGCGCTTTGCAGAAACAACCGAGATTTTTAGATCGAAAAAAGTCCAAAATTTAGGACTTTTTGCCGAATTTTGGCTCGAAAAGTTTCATGCCTATTTCTACCGTAAAGGATAATGTTTCTACAAAAAATTAAATTTTTCCGTACGAAACTGCCAAATTTATGGCCAAAAAGCGTTTTTCTATATGACCGCTCTCCGAGTTTTGCGTGCTCTCTCGGCGGCAAAGATCGTTCGATATCTCGGCGGCGCCCGCAAAGCGCGAGCTAAAACTTTCAGGAATTGATATTTAGTCTATTCCCGACGCGTATGCAAAATTTAAAGAAAATCTGAGCGTCGCACTTGGAGTACTTTCCCTGTTAGAATGAAAGTTTCCAGGAAAAATGCGAATCTCAGAGCTCGTACGTTGCCGAAACGAGTTGGATTCTTAAGCCGGAAAATGAGACACTTTTTCCGCATGAAAACTTTCATGCCTATTTTTGCTGTAGAGGGTAACGTTTCCACAAAAAAAATTCATTTTTGATATGTATGGTAAGCTGACAAAGACAGGCCCGAAAAGGGTCTTCCTCTCCGACCTCTCTGGTTTTATTACTCTGCATACTCTGTCGGGAAAATATTGAGCATCCTATCGTATCGAAAATCGCATCAAAAAAAGGAGTCGCGCCGTGAAAAAATCAAATTTCTTTTTACTAAAGTGACACGCTCGACCCAGCGATATTGTGTTCATTATTTTCCCTATAGACCGACAAAGTTTCTTGTTTACATTTTGGAAAAAATTTGTATTATGTTCATATGACAAAGCTCTTTAAAAAGTGCAAAACTCACGTGTTTTTTCCAACACAACCCAGTGAAGTGCGTCAAATCCTTTGATCACGATCACAAATCCCATGGCACTTCCAGCCATACAATGACTACTGGAGATGGGAATCCCCATGAAACTTGTCCACAACACCCATGTTGCGGCGGCGATAATGAACGATAATTGGGCGATAATCAGCGAGGACTCCGAGTGGGTGTGGTAGACTGTGTTCAGAGGGTTGTGGAACTCAATGTGGTTGGAGCTGGTGACTAAAAAAAGAGGCGTCTACAGTGGGTGACCTGATCTAATGGCAAAAAACGTGCCATTTTGCATCCGGCAAGTATCAAAAATGTGGCAAAATGCTTCCCTCTCCAAGTAAAAAACTCCGATTTCAAAAGCGCGCCCGCTATTTTTGTGAGGGAAAAGGCGCGTCATCCAAAACGATGTTGTTTTTTACTTGGAAATGGAAGCATTCTGCCACATTTTTGATTCTTCCCGGATGCAAAATGACACATTTTTTGCCACTGGATCAGGTCCGCTACTGTAATATATTAGGCGTAGAAGTATGACCGTGCCGTTTTTTTAGTTGCGCCTTTTTTACAGGTAGAGTTAAAGTTTTGGTGCATCTGTTGGTATCGCCTGAAAGAACGTTGAAAACGCTGTCTATCGATATATGCTTCGTGTGGTTAGGTTTAGAATAGCGGGTTTTATAAAGCTTCAAAGATGGCCAACTTTCGTCCCGGAAAAATGCCATTTGCGGGAAATTTTCCTCGATAAGAGAGCAAAAGCGCCGTCGACGCATGGAACGCTTACAGAAGTTTACTGTGGTTGTGCTCTGTAAAAAAAATTCCGTCGGAAAAGGGTTCATCGTTTCAAATCCCGTGATTTTCCAACCCATATAAGAAATTTGAATATGGAGATTATTGCAAACAACACGATGCCGGTGCGCAAGAAAAGCTAGCTGTGATGTTGCACGTCTTGCATAAAGGAGCTTCACTCAGTTTGGAACAATTGGGAAGGATCCAGAGAGAAGTGTCATATGGATTGACCTAACTCAACATAGACAACATACAAGATTTTGATGGACATACAGAAAGGAAGTCATTTTTGCATTGTCTAGTGACCAGAGAAGAACAATGGATCGATTTTGACAACCCGAAACACGAGCGACCGCACAGTCCAACATTACCGGGGAGGAAGTGTTGCTCTGTATATGATGACAAAAACAAGATCTTCTTTTCTATGAGGTCTTGAAACCCGACAAAACAGTTACTGGCATCCGTTGTCAACAAGACTTGATGCAACTCCACCAAGAGATATGGTAAAAGCGGTCGGTATGACCAATTTTTATTTTGCTGCATGATGACGCCAAACCCCATGTTGAAAAACTGGTCAAGGGCACCCTAGAACCGTCGAGTTCGGACGTTTTACCCCACCCGCGACACTCTCCGGACGCAGCACTTTCAGATTATCACTGGTTTCGACCGATGGAACACGATCTGTGGCAGCAGCGCTTCGTTGAATACAACGATGCCGAAAATTGGGTTGATATTTAGATGGCTTCAAAAAAGCCAAAAATTTTCTTTGATGGACTTGAAAGTTGGCCAAATTATGCAAACCCCTCGGAATTAATAATAGAATATAAAATTGGATAAGGTTTAGTGTAAAAATTTTTTGTTTTGATTGAAATTATGGGCCGGAAAACGGCACGATCATACTTCTACGCCTAATAGTAAAACTTTTGAAAAAGCGCAGTATCATCTGCCTATCAGCCTGTCGGGAAAATAATGAGCACTCTGTTGCTTTGCGTCGCTGAAGTTTAAAGCAATTTGATTTTGTCGCGACACAATTCATTTTCTCGGCAGCGATTCGATTTTTGGTTTGACAGAATGCTCGTTATTTTCCCGATAGACTGATATGTAATACCTCCATAACCACGACAAATTCCCCCTCAAACTCACCGATATAAAGATAGGCCATGACCTGGAACGCGACAGCCGCAACTTTCGCCTGCTTCGAGCTCAGCACGCCCGAGCCCACGGCCGTCGCGAACGCGTTGGCCAGCCCGTTCGCGCCCCATCCGAAGCCCATGACCAGCGAGAAGGCGGCGCCCACAATCACGATCCATAAGCGGTCGGGCTCGGGCAACTCCTCCTCGGCGTCGGTGAGATTCAGCGCCACCTCCAAGTCGCGCGCTCGTTCGTGGATCATTGGGACCGCGGCGAGACGAGACCGAACACGCGGACGCCGGACTTGAAGTGGGCTCTGAGGCGCGTGAACACCAACCAATCATTGTTTACATTGTTGTATTTGCAAGTGATCCGGGCAGGGCCGTCGAATGGATCCGCGCAGTTAGACTTGTGGACGGGGTTCGGGAAGAATGGGAGGTGATTTAGGGGGTTTCCAACAAAATTCAAACTATGACGTTTTTATACACTCAACGGTCGAATTTTTCGTCAAAATAGGTGTAATTTTCAACTTATCAGTCTGTCGGGAAAATAATGAGAAAGTCATCAAAAATATAAAAAATTATATAGCGCGCTATATAATCTATAGCGTGCTGTGTGGCGCTGAAAAAAAATCCTCAAATAAGCCAATATCCGTCTGTCGGGAAAATAATGAGCACTCTGTCGCTGTGCCAATCGTGTCGCTGAAGTGAAAAGGAAATTTGATTTTCCCGCGACACAATTCATTTTCTCCGCGGCGATGCGATTTTCGATGCGATAGAGTGCTCATTATTTTCCCGACAGACTGATATGGCCTTTATGGTGACTCTTCCAAAAAAATCCGAAAATTTCATTTATTTTTAATTAATCAAACAACAAACAAGTGTAACACAATCTGAAAGATTTAATAATATCTACGAAAAATATAAAAATGATATTGAATATAATCTATTTTAAGGAAGATAATTTTTAAAAAACGGTCACGTTCAATACAAAAAACTTTCAAAGACCGATGAATAACAATGTTGGGAACAAGTGCGAGGATAACAAGGTGCCTGAGGAGGATATTAAAAGACCGTTTTGCGAGCGGTTTGTCTGTGGAATGTGAGCATGTGGTTGTATTTCAAAAAAATCTTCATATCGGTCAAAGCGCTGAAATTCATGAAAATTTTAATATTTTATGTCAATTTAGGCAAATTAAATACCTAAACCAATCCTAAAATCTTCCTCAGCTCATAACTCAGACATTACTCATCCTTTTCTACCAAAACCAACCCAGTTTTACCTCAAAATCATCAATTTTTCAAGAACCTCCATCTGACGTCTAGTATAATATCAAAATCTGCCCATAACTCACCGTTCACTCGAATCCTTAGCCACATAACTACTCAAATCAAATTTCCGATCATCAGTCAACGATTTCGGCGGTATATCGACCAACATGTTGAACATATTGGCCAGTGGGGAGCCTTCAAAGTAAGTGTTCCACCAATTTCGAGGATTATAGTCTCCTTTGAAAGTCTTGGGCCTCCATGCTTCCGAATTGGCTTTGCTCGTCAACGAATACGTGTCTTCTCTTGCCACCCAGCTGTCCAGATGATTCAGCACTTCGCGGGCGTCAATTTCGGGATGTTCGCCGTATTTCTCGCGGATGAACGCGAACGTCTCTTCTCGAAGATCGCCGGCGAAATTCGCCGGATTACTGGTGGGATCGAGGAGTTGGACGAGGGCACCGGCTTGCACAATCTCCGAAGGGACTTGAAAACAGCTTTGGAGGTTCTGAAACCACAAACCAGTATGATTTTTCAGGCCAATATCAAAATCTGGCCTAAAGTAACATCAGAAACAGTGATCTAAAGGTTGAAAATCCAAAAAAATGTCTTCCTTACCTGACAAATCCCCTCCATCTCCTGTGAATTGAACATGGACATTGGCGGCGACAAAATCCATGGGTAATTTCGAACAATTTTTTCCGTGTTGATCCCCGAATTCTCGTTGATAAAAGACACCACTCTCTCCACTCCAATCTCGTTGAAAGTCCGTATTACAGCCGTAACCACTTTCTTCTCAAAGTCCGATTCAGTGGCGGCCACGATTTTGTACAAGTATGGGGTTGGCGTATGAACTATGATCCCGGCCACGGAGTCGCCGTTAATATCGCTCCAACAATCCAGAGAAACATGGAGATATTTGGCTCGCTCTATGAAGCTCTTGATCTCTTCTAAGCCTTTTTGATATTCGGATTGGATAAAACCGCCAGAACGGATTTCCGACTTGCTCGGAAGGGAGAAATCTTTGAAGACTGTTCGGATAAAAGCTGAGAAATAGTCGCTCCCCATGAGCTCCGAGGGAATTTCTCCACTGGCCAGACCCTAGAATACGATTTGTGAAAATTTTAGGTAAAAATTTGGCAAAAATTTATATTGTACTAGGCAAAAATTTATATTGCACCAGACAAAAATAGTCGATTTCTGCTCGAAAGCTGATCCTAAACCAAAAAATAAAATAAAAAATAACAATCCACTTACCATTGTCAAGAAAGTTTTTGCCTTCTCAGCAGCCTTTTCATTTGATTTGTTCAAGTTTGACACCATGCTCAACATAGTTTGAAGGGCATTCTGCTCAAAATTGTTTCCATTTTCGGCCTTATCCTTCTTTAACGGAACTTTTTCCTCGATAATCATCTTCTCCTCCTCCTCTTCTTCTTCGTCTTCAACTGCGTCTTCGGTAGATAACAATGTTTCGGAGAGTACTAGCGATAAAGATTTACTTGTTGATGGCTCTTCTGTTTTTGTGGTGTAATCTTCGAATAGCCGACTGTTGGAGATCCCTCGACTGGCTTCTCGAGCCTGTAAATAGACCCGGCAGTTATCAACAACTTCATTTCTGGTTCTGGCATCCACTTTTTGGCAAGGCTTTTTCTGAAAGTAATATAATGAGAAAATTGTGTGGGATTCGTGGAGGAAATGGTCTCAACTAGTTGAATAAACACCCGCAGAATCCCACATTCTATTACTGGAAACGTAAAGACAATAATTTCATGCAAAAGAAAACGCAGATTTCGAAAAAATTATATTATTTTAGATACCAAACAAAGCAAGTCCCAAAAACCGCCAGAAAACCCTTTTAAATCGAATAAACTCTCCGAGAATAACAAGTTTACACAGAATGCAAACAAAACTCGTCTCTTCTACACTTTCTGTTATCTAAAAACCAACAAAAAAAAACTAGAAAACAACTTACTTTCCCATACGGATGGTTGGGCGGCAATAAATGTGCGAGCATTCGGAAGGAATGCCCTCCACTGTAGGTCACTCCACAGAATCTGCATACGAATGTGATTGGCTTCGTGGGATGCGGATCATAATAGGCCTTGATGAAGGGCAAATGTGTTTTCGTCCTCATTTTCTGGCCCGACCGGGCCACAACCTTCTCCGAAATCGCCGGCATTTTTGGTGTTGATGGCGGAATCTTCTGCAACCGGGGTAGGACAATCATCGACCAGTAAATTGGGCAGCAAATAGGTGGAAGACAAAGGGGGTTTTCGACCAAAAAAATTGACAGAAATTTCCGAGGTTTTTGATGGAGAATGCCAAAAAAAAATCCGCGCAAGAAAAAATCGACGGTTTCTCGGAGAGAAAAATATTGTTTTCGGTTGCGTAGGACTCACCGAAATTCTGTTTATCGACCAATTTGGCGTCCAACACCGATTCCTAGAGCGTTACGATGTTGTAGTAGATAAGGGGAATATCAGAAAATTCTCGAGAGATTTAAGAGTAGTATAATATAAGATTCGAAGCTCTATGACTTGTGAGAGAGTCGGCCAGTCGTATTTTAGGTAGTAGGTGGACCGAAAATTCAGTCGATATTGTAGTAGGCAATAAAATAAGAAAAGTCCTAGTGGAATATTAGTTTACGGAGAGAATCGACCTTGTCCACAAATATTCTCGTAGAGTCGACCGAATAGACGGGTTCACCGGTCGATTCGGGCCTTTCGACGAGTGCCACGCACGAATTCTGGATGGGGAAATTCCGAATTTTTAGGTGGCGAGAAAATTTCGGGCGAAAAAGCAGTCGGAAGCGAGGTGAAAGCACGTCGAAAGACCCGCCATCGACCAGTCGGAACCGCGGCTTCTCTGCCCGCCCTCCGCAGGCGGCGGCGTCTCTGCGGGGCGGGGCGGCTCCCCTTTTTTCTCTCAAATTCAATCCCAAAAATCGGAGGTCTCTCGCCCTCGCTGCGTTTCGGGCCCCTTCGTCCTTTCCTCCTCCTGCCCGCCTGCCCTGATATTATTCCGTCGCTCCTCACCGCGGGGTTTTGTACGTTCCAAGGAACAATGGCGAGCCTGAAACCGTGAGTGGAGCAGCCGTTATGAGGCTCAATGTTTTAGACGGGAGAGACCACGCTTTGACGGAATTAAAGCCCTCCGAATGCAGATTAGAATAGGCAAAGCTGTGGGAAAGTTTGAGAAATCGAGGTCGAGTTTTGAGGCCGTTTGACTCTGTCGACTAAATGAAGGTCCAAATTCGGGGATTTGTTAGTGAAATTTATAAGGTACGGCTGTCAAACAGGGCATTATTCGATTTTCGTCTTAATCTTGAGGTCGAGATCATGAACAAGTTTGGGTTCCAAGGAACTCAAACTCGGTCGTCAAGTTTGGCATGATCTCAACCTCAAGGTTAGGACGAAAATTGAATAATGCCCTGTTTGACAGTCACATCTTATAAGTTTCACCAATAAATTCTTCGATTTGGCTCTTCATTTAGTTGAGAGTTTCAAAAACCTCAAAAATCGAACTTAATTTCTCAAAATTTTTCACAGCTTTGCCTGTTCTAATCTGCATTTGGGATGCATTAATTTCGTCAAAGAGTTGTCTCCTTTTTACAACATTGAGCCTCGAAATTGCAGAGATGGCCGCCGGGCCTCAAGACCTTATCGGGCAGGACTTTAGGTCTCGCCGGACTTCTGTAATTTCGAAAACGGGCCTACTTGATTAGCCTCGAGTTGCCCAAGGCCGGCAGCCATGTCTGATCGGCTGCTTCACTCGCAGTTTTAGGAAACGAATCCTTTGATTTGTTTCTTCGTAAGGAAGCGATCCACGTCAAAGACAGTTACGAACCTTATGATAACCTAAAATCAAAGATCCATCGTTTCGATTTGAAAAGTTTGATTATGAAAGGGCGAAAGTGAAGGTTGAAATCATATATTTTTTTTTATCTTGATGAATAAGCTCTATAAATCGTATTTTCTATGATTTATTCAAAATGACTGGGCCCATTTCGAAGGAGAGAAGATTTTCTGTTTTCTTCTTTGTCGTTAGGCAACATTTTTGTAGTATTCTCTCCTTTTGCTTGGCAACAAAACTACAATTTTTTGGAAAAATAGGATCCTCTGATAGCTCACATAGGCAGTTCAAAAAAGTAGTTGTTTGGGGCAAAATATAATGGAAAAATGGAATAAAGCACTCAAAAATATTATTTATACCATTTTGACGACAATTGCATTATAAATTTTCATCTCGCATATGGCATTCCCACGATGAATCCGCCGTCAACAACGATGACAGACCCAGTAATGTACTTGGCATCTTTGCCGGCGACAAAAACGATGGCATTCGCGACTTCTTCGGGGTTTCCAATGCGGCCCAGCGGCAATTTCGGGATGATTTTTTTGAAAGTCTCCAAGAGATTGCCATTCCCGCCCTGTTGACGCGACGAGAACTCGGTTGAGGTGGGCCCGGGACTAAAATATGACAAGTATTTTTACAGTGGGGGACCTGATCCAGTGGCAAAAAACGTACCATTTTGCATCCCGGAAGTATCAAAAATGTGGCAAAATGCTTCACTCTTCGTGAAAAAGCTTCGTTTTGAAGAGCGCGCCATTTTCCTCACAAAAAGGGTGGGCGCGCTTTTGAAATCTTGAGTTTTTTTCACTTGGAGAGGGAGGTATTTTGCCACATTTTGATGCTTCCCGGATGCATAATGGCACGTTTTTTGCCGCTGGATCAGGTCTCCTACTATATTTTTCGAGTCAAAAATAACATTAACTTTGCGGCAACTCCGCGAGTGTCCTTTTCCACTCACCTAATCGAATTTACTCGAACCTCAGGCCCGTACTTGACGGCCAGGCCCTTCGAATAGGCGTCGACGGCCGCTTTTAGCGAAGCATAGGCGATAGCAAAGGGTGGGACGATTTGCGAACCAGCCGAGGAAATATTCACAATATTTCCCTTGGTCTTCCGCAAATGTGGATAGACTTTGTCGTTGAGGTCGTACATACTGAAAGAAAGAAAAATAAGGGGGAGTTTCTGTAGACTTGCTGCATTTTCCACACAAAGAGCCGAGATTTAAATCTCGCAGAAAAAAATTCAACTTTTTGGTTAGTTGAGCTCTACTCAGTTCCCCAGCTACCTTTTAAAATTCACATTGAACAAGAACTCCAAATTATGAACACTATCCAGATCAGGATCCGCCGGATCATTCTGCGCGCCAGCATTGTTCACCAGCACATCAATTCGCCCGAACTTCTTCAGTGTTCCGTTAATTAAGGCGCTCCGGGTTTTCTCGTCTTGGATTGGTCCTTGAACAACCAAATACCGATCCGGAGTCAGTCCGCATTTCTCCAGGGACGCTGTAAATTCCTAAAACAATAGTTGGGCTGTTGATACTGGTCGGTTGGTATTAGCATTTTCGTAAAGTACATGGACATTTTTTCGCTTTCGCACAGTGCATCTTGAAATTTTTCCCATGCTTGTCGCCAACGCACAGTGGATGTGTCTCTTTGTGCACCGTGCAACCCTCAAAAAAAGCCGTAGTTTATGAAAATGCTAATAGTATGACTGCAGATTGAATACCTTCAATTTGCTCTCGCTTTGGCCGTGAATAACGACATTTGCGCCCTTCCGCGCGAACAATCTGACGGCCTCTCGCCCGATTCCGGAGCTCGACCCGGTTACAATCACAGTTTTGCCGGAGAATGGGGGCATTGCTTTTTGGAGGAGACGAAAAGAACAAACACTTAGAAACAGTCGAAATTTTTGGGATGTTAGAAGTCCGAGAGAGCCGGCTTTTAAAGGGATGCCGCGTTTGTAGTTTTGTAACTAGAAAGCGAAGAATTTGAATGGTTTTGGCATGGATATTGTGCTCAGTGGGCTTTGAAATGTTTTGAAAATGAAATGGGAATTTCAGCAGGGATTTTGGACACGTTCGGAGACATTTTTTGATGAGAGTTTGCAACAAAATGGTTTATTATCGTTTCCTGTTCGGTGATACCGTATTTTACAAACAATCGTTTTTATGGGAAAAATGTTTTTGCCCAAAGTCACGTTAAGTTGCTGTTCACAGTTTTTTAGAGCCTTACAGTCTATCAAAAATGCAGCATAAATTAGACAATATAATCTAGTTATTAATACCCATGAATAACAATATTATCCTGCAAAAAGCGTCAACAAATATGTGTACAAAGCGGAGAGCCCGATGGTGATGGGAAGAGTGAGCAGCCATGACAGCACAATCGACCGGAATACCGCCCAATTCACGCCTCTGCCGGCCTTGATCGTGCCGACCGCAACGACGGATCCGACCAGCGAATGCGTCGTTGAGATCGGGAGACCCATCTTGGAAGCGAGGATTGACGTCACAGCGGCTCCGAATTCAATCGTGAAGCCGGAGGCGGGATGGACATGGGACATTTTGGTCCCGACTACTTTGATGATTCTGTGGCCAAGCACCCATAGGCCGGCGACGATTGCCGCAATTCCAAAAACAAACACCCAGATCGAGGCCGGCGCCTCTTGTTTGACGCTGGCGTCTTCATAGACCGCCAGCATCGCAGCTAACGGAGCGATCGCATTCGCGACGTCGTTGGCTCCATGTGCGAAGCCGGCGAAGCACGCCGTGAACACTTGGATCGTGGAGAAGAGGCGAAGAGCATGCTCGTCCTCTTCGCGATGCTTGACCGGGAAGAGCCAGTGGACAAATTGCTTCGGGTGCAGACTAAAATGTTGCTCTTGGACGATCCGAGCAGCGGGAGGAGGAAGAGTTGGGTGCGTAGTTGACTTAGGATCAGTGTTGATTGGAACAACGGTCGCCTCTAAAAACATGTCACTCGTCAACTCAAACATATTGCTTTAAGGCGTCCAGAAGCTTGTCATAACTTTTCTATTCTAGTAATATTTTCATATCTGACTGCTGGGAAATAATCAGCACTCTGTCGCATCAAAAATCGCATAGCCGCTGAGAAAATGGATTGTGTCTCGGAAAAATCAATGTCTCCATGAAATTTATGAAACTTATTACAGATACGACAACAGAACCTACTATTTGTTCTTGGCCTCCGATCTGCTTGAGCGATAAATCGGAGCAGCACTGGCCTCAAAATAAATTGACAAAACAGAGCGGCCAGAAGTCCAGCGACCCCTGAAATGACCAGGGCCCATAGAACGTCAACGGACGCTAATCCCAGGATCCTTGAGCCTTGATAGACGACGTTGAATGTGTTAAACGCAATGCAGAAGAAGTAGAAAAATGGTAGAAGTAAAAGTCCATTTGCTACTGGATTTTTACGTCGGAGCACGGTAATATCCAGTAAAATGTAGAAAAAGCCGGATACTGCCGCTGAAAACACGGGAGAAACAATCCACGTGGCCATGATTCTGCAGACAATGCCCCATCCAATACCAGTAATCCCTTTCAAAGCCAAAGAGAAGCCGATGGTAGATCCGACAATAGAATGGGACGAAGAGACAGGCAGATCAAGAGCTGTCGCCAGCATCAGCCAGGTACTACAGCCTCCGAGGATTCCGAGCTGTCCAAGAAAAAATAATCGCTCTTCTCCTTCATAGATTCGAACATCAACCACTCCTTTGCGCATAGTGTCCACCACATTATAGCCGATTAAGATCGCACCGGCGGATTCGACAACCGTCGCCAACATGTAGGCTTGCCTTATAGTTAACACTTTTGATCCGACAGAGGTTCCGAAGGCATTCGAGACATCATTCGCTCCAAGGGCAAAGCCCAGTGCAAACGCGAGGATTGCACCGACGATTAGGATCCACAGAACTTGATGCTGAAATTTACGGTGATGATGGGTTGCTGACAATCGACTAGTCCGTTCAAAAAATCGCTGAACTGATTTTCGCGACATGCACTGTGCAAAAGCAAAAGTTTGTTTTACACTATGCACTGCAATTTCTTTTGCACCGTGTAATAAGCTTTTTGGAACTTTCGCTCGCATCCTGACTTTTTCTGGACAGTGCACGTCGGCAAAATTACTCCAGCGCCTATTCGAACGGCTAGTTTTTTCTATGTAAGCTTGTTAGTACGCTTTTTCAAAAGTGTGTAGACTTTTTGTCGCAAGCTTTCCGCACTGTGCATTTGACGTTTTGCATTGTCGAGTGAAAGATCACCGCGGTGCGAGGCTTTTCGACTGTATCGCCGCAAATTTGTGCGCGACAGAGTTTCCCCAGTGTAAAAAGTAGCAAAATGCCCTACGCGCCCCGAAAAAAATGTCTACGCACTTTTGAAAAAGCGTGTTAGAATTTCCATGAAGTGCATGGACATTTGTCACGGTCCGCACTGTGCAAAAAAAAATCCCATCTTTCACCGTTCAATTCACTCTCCTCCTTTTTTAGTCGAAACATCGCTACGTCGCTGCGCCGGCGCCAAGAATTTGCACTGTGCAAACGGATATTTTTTTGAGTTTTGCACTGTGCAAAAAGAAAAAATTCACTGTGCGATGGCGACAAGCGTGGGAAAAGTCGAAAATGCACTGTGCGAAAGCGAAAAAATGTCCATAAACTTTATGAAAATACTACTGTCAAAATTTTCTCGAAGATGAAGCTGTGTTTACGAAGTAAACTAACCTGAAACTCTGCTAAAGTAAGAGTAGTTGTGACAAGCGAAGTCACTGAAGTGACGTCCATTTCAGCCAATATTTACAATCATCAATTTCACACCAAATTCAAACGCTCCTTCCCACAAAACATTGAAAACTCCACAATAATGTGAATAAAACTCCATTTTATGTATAACTCTGTAGGTTTGAGCTCTCGAAGATCATAATAGGGCTGTTTTTGCCTTTTTTTTGGGTAATAAATCTGTTTCCAACAACTCGGAAACTCCTCCACCATTTGCAAAAGCGATCAGCAATAATAAATGTTTGCTCCGAGCTGTGACAAAGCAATGTTCTTTGCTGCTCGCTTGACGTGGAAATTCACCCAAAACGCATGGAATTTTTATACAATAACAATGATGGATCTGTCGGTAAAGGGGGAAAGGTGACTCAGATTGAGACCGAAGAGGGCCCAAAACGAAGACGCCTCCTTTTTTAAAAATTCAAAATAATGGTGACATCTTATACGACGGAAAAAATTGAAATGTTTTTTTCATCGTATAACATGTCATAGCCCACAAAATTTTTTCAGTTTGTAAAAATTTTTTTCTCTTGGGGGCTTTTTTGATTTTTTGGAGGCCTAGCGCATTGGAAATTTTGAAAAAAATTCAAATTTCTGCACGATCTGGCCGATCGATTAACACACAGTTCAATCACAGATAAACCATAGACAAATTTAAATTTTTACGGCTGCTTTAACACGAGGGCGGAGAATTTGCTTTTGGAGATTGCGTGGTTTGTGATACAAACAAAAAGACAACAAAACGGCGATCAAGTGAGTATTGCAAACACTTTGTTGAATTTAGTAAGCTAACAGTAAGCGCCCTCCTTTACGGGTTCCCTTCTTCTTTCGGATAACAAGTCGTCAACGTTCATATTTTTGATGACATTGACGGATCAGAAGTTTTTTTATACAATGCGAGACATGATCCAATCGTCCAGCTAAATCTGCTTGTAAAAAGTGACACGGTTAAAGCCGGCTCTGTAGTTTGAAGACATACAGTGAGGAACAGAATCTGCCTCCGATTGCATCCGAGAGGCATTTCAAATACTACGCACTTGGAATGCCTCGCGGATGCAGTCGGAGGCAATTTCGACCACTGGATTCTGTCCCGCACTGTGTGTCTTCAAACTACAGACCCAAATTTAACCGTGTCATTTTTACAAGCAGATTTTGCCTCTCTCTTACAGAGAATGAAATTTTGCTCGAGTTGTACATTTTCTGTTGCAATTAGCCAATATTAAAGCTCCTCTACTGAACTAAACAACATAAACCACACGAATGCTTTGTAGTCTCTTTTGCTATGTATTGCACAAGTGTGAATAAACTATAACTCCCAATAGCTTATAAAGGGCCCGAAAACAAATCTCGAGCGTTACTTTTATTCTTGGAACTGGCTAAACAGTAACTTTCCGCAGTTTTTACTTGAAATGGCTTCTTTTGCTACAAAAACTGTGATTATTACCGGCTCCAGCGCCGGAATTGGGCGTGAAGCCGCTTTATTGTTCGCTATACGAGGCGCTAATGTTGTTATTCATGGGCAAAGCGAGAACAAGTTGAAAGTAAGCCTATATTTTTTGTTTCTACTTTCTTTCAGGACGTTGTAGCGGCCCTCGAAGCCGCTGGCGTCAAGGCCGAGCGTTATCTAGTCGTTCAAGGGCCGATTCAAGATGAGAAGACGCGAGATGCTCTAATTAATGAGACTATCAAAAAGTTTGGGCAAATTGATGTGCTCGTCAATAACGCCGGCATTCGAAACGATCCCAAAGATGAGGACTGGAACAGTCTTCACAATATGGATTATCTCTATAATGTCAATTTTCGAAGGTATGAAACTAACAGCCCCTAAACTAAAAGCTTCTTTTAGCATGTACGACCTGAACGAAAAGGCGTATCCCCATTTGGTGAAGACCAAAGGAAACATAATCAATATATCTTCGGTTGGAGCTAAACTAATTGCCCCAAGACTCGTGCCCTATTGCATTACAAAAGCCGCAATGGACGCATACACCGCCGGCTTCGCCGTCAGATGGGGACCTGAGGTTAGAGTGAATAGTGTGAAGTGAGTATCACAATACCATATATACAGTGGCGGAGCTGATCCAGTGGCAAGAAAAGTATCATTTTACATCCGGGAAGTATCAAGAAATGTGGCAAAATGCCTCTCTCTCCAACTGAAAAAACTCCTTTTTGAAGGGTTCCTTACAAACAGAGCGGGCGCGCTTTTGAAATCGGAGTTTTTTCACTTGGAGAGGGGCATTTTGCCACATTTTTGATACTTCCCGGATGCAAAATGATACGCCTTTTGCCAATGGATCAGGTCCGCCAGTGTACCTGTCTGTTCGTAAAGTCGCTGGGGATCTTCGCACAGTGCACGTCGCCGAAATCACCCCAGCGACTTTGCGAACGAACTATGTAGTACAAAATGTGAGGTGATTTCTAAATTTTGCTTTTCAATCCAGTCAAAAGCGGCAAATTCAGCCCAAAGTTAACGTTTCACTAAATTTCGACGGATCTTGTCCATGAAATGAACTGAACTCGCTACTTTTTTCACAAGGAAAGTACTTCTATGGGGTGTGGAGTTACAGGTCGAGATATATATCAAAAAATTCGCAAAAATTTTCTGATTCAGAATATATCAAAATTAGCTGCCTAATTTTGGTCTGATGACATGTTTTTGACCTCAGAAGTTTTCTCGCGACACACAACGATCAGAAAAATTTTTTACTTTAAATGGGGAATCTGATCAGGGAGTTTTGTTAAGACTTAATCAAAGATCAAAAATGCCAAATCTTATCAAAATCGGTCTACGGCAAAAAAAGAAGTAGCGATATTACAATTGAAGGTCAAGACCTACAAATATACCGTTGTGCGTTCTAGCAACTTTGCTGATCACTTATTTGTACCAATTTGGTCATAAAATAGCTTTTTCTACGATTACACATATCTGAAATTCCAATTTGGCGTTTCGGACTGATATTGACCATGTTATACATGACAAAATTAAAGTAAAATTTTTTACGGATTTGACCCAATTACAGGGTCTTACAAAAAACGTGAAGGAAAGTGGAAGGCTATAACTTCCGGCGGAGGCGGCGCAGAGACTTCGTATTTGGAATGTGTATTTTTAAAAGACATAAGTTTTCGCCTACGAAATAACAAGCTTTTAAAGCGCAAACTGAGGTCGCTGCGACCTTCTGAAATAGAGGCATCTTTACCCCGAAAACCAGGTTTTTTCGGTTGAAAATGATCGTGAAATTTCGGACTTTTTCGGTTGAAAATCACCAGGAAATGTCGGATTTTTTGGGGGGTTTTGATATGGGTGATGTTGAAAAAGAAGAGGAAAGTGCCAACACGTGCAATTTTTTGACGTTTTCTTAAAGGCTATATCAAGAAACCTCCAAAAAATCCGACATTTCCTGGTGATTTTCAACCGACAAAGTCCGAAATTTCTCGATCATTTTCAACCGAAAAAACCTGGTTTTCGGGGTACAGATGCCTCTACTTCAGAAGGTCGTAGTGACCTCAGTTTGCACTATAAAAGCTTGTTACTTCATAGACAAAAACTTATGCCTTTTAAAAATACACATTTCAAATACGAAGTCTCTGCGCCGCCTCCACCGGAAGTTACAGCCTTCCACTTTCCTTCACGTTTTTTTTGTAAGACCCTGTATTCTATAAAATAGGTAAACAAGAGCCCCAGTTGACGAAACTCTCCCTCTTCCCTTCTCTAAAGACCCCAAACCTCATTCTTGACAAGTCCAGATCTGCGCATCTTCTCCTCCAAGAATTCCGCGATCGAGGTTAGTAAAATCTCTCTATTTGCTCCCGTTTCATAACTAATATGGTTTTAAAACTGCCCACATGTTCCATTACCTTGGAGTCCTGCTGAGGCGCTTCCTCGGCAGGATATTGATCTTGATCATGGATAACATAATTTTTCCATCTAAAAGTACTTTACTACTTTTTGGGTTGCCAATACGAGCTTATTCTGGCGTTACCTTCGAGGTTTGATGGGCCTGGGCATTTTAAACACAAAAAAAAATAAAAAATAATGAATTGAATTTTGAAGTATTTTTGCTACTGCTGCAAAAATTGTAGACCGATTTTGCTGAAACTTAGCCCACACGAAGAGAAAGACATGTTGAACAATCCTCCCTGATCAGATTTGTCAAAAAAAGTACTTTACACTCTAGAAGAGCCAAAACTTTTGCAAAAACGGGCATATTTTCGGCCAGTTTTACCATAAAACCATAAGTTTGTTATCTAAAAAAATCGAACTATAATAAACTGAAACGGATTACCTTTCATATGATATAATAAACTTAATAAAATTATGGCCCTTCGATGGCGTATGAGCCTGATTTATCCGACCTGTCTTTAAAAAATTGAGAAAATTAATGCCAAAATTCTTGGCATTCTGTTTCTGTTCGTTGTGCGACACCATGCAAGTGTCTTTTTGACCGTGTTTTTACCAATAAAAAAATTTTGTTTTGTGCTAAAATAAATTTTAAGGCCTTGACAAGCCTTAAAATATCAAATTAGATTACAACTACACCTTAGAAGTAGTTCCAATGTAAAAAATGGGTTCTAGTGTGCCAAAACGAATCGAACCCGTTCCCTTCGGATTCCCAATCTAGCGCTCTAACCACTCGGCCACACCGCTCTCTTCCGAAGGAGGAGACCGAGCGCGCTTTTGTCGCCGCAGATTTTTTTCCTCGAGAAAAACATTTATTGATAAAACTCGCTGATAGACCAAAATTAGGCAGCTAATTTTTATATATTCTGAATCAGAAAATTTTTGCGAATTTTTTGATATATATCTCGACCTGTAACCCCACACCCCATAGAAGTACTTTCCTTGTCAGTAAAATGATGTTTTATTTCAACAAGATCCTCCAACATTTACAAGGGAAGTACCCCAATTTCGACGCTCAGATTTTGATGAAACTTGGCACAAGTTTAGATAACTTCGCACGAAACTAGCAAAGTTATGATCAAAAAGTGTTTTTCCCTCTGACCGCTCTCCGCCGTTAGAATGCTCTCTCGGCGGCAACGATCGTTGAATATATCGGCGGCGCTTGCAAAGCGCGAGCTAAAACTATCAGGAATTGATACTTAGTCCATGCCAGACGTGTGTGCAAAATTTTACAAAAATCTGAGCGTCGCACTCGGGGTACCTCCCTTGTTAGTCCAAAGTTAACCTTGGACTGAATTTGACGCTTTTGATTGGATTGAAAAGCAAAATTTATAAACTACCTCCCATTTACAAACCTTCTATGTCACGTATAATATAATTTTTCCTTTTTAATTTTAGTCCCGGACCCATTATTACCGACTTCACCATTCGTCATCAAAATGGTGAGGCCTTGTTGGAAGTGGGTAAGGAAAAGTATTCGAAGCTTCCGGCTCGTCGAATGGGCACACCTCAAGAAGTGGCGAATACAATTCTCTTCATCGCCAGCGATGACGCAAGCTATATGACCGGTTCAACGATTGTTGTGGATGGTGGTTATTTGCCCGGACTGGCTTTTGCCCAGTAGTCTTTTATCGCAACTTAAAAAATAATAAATACAACTGCTAAAAACTTGAATTTGATCCGAAAATTATATTATAATCTACACCCGTAGTCCTTATAAAAAGTTCTGCTTAATTGATGAACTGCGACACCCTCGAATACGATCGCATTTCCACAATCTTCCGTCGCCATGAGACGAACCCATAGAACAAAACGCTCCAGGCGAAACTCATTCCAGCGAACAGATTGAAGCGGACGAAAGCTCGGACTTGTTTGGAATAACATGGAGAGTATAGCGTTTGATTCGTTGCTTCACACAAAAACTTTGTATAGAACCCAGTGTCCTTACAGTAGTCTAAATATACAAATTTCAAAAAAAATTCGAAATCTTACCTGTTTTCAAAGCGTTGACTTCAAAGTTTGAGCAAGGTTGACATTCCTCGACCAGCTTCAAGGATTCGGGAGAGCATTCGGAGGTCGATGTTTTGGGGACGTCCTTCTAAATACAGAAAATAACATAAAACATACGTTACATATGACATTTTTAGGGCCTCAAAAGCTCACCTTCGAGTCTGGATCGGAGTAACTCATTTTCCCATTCTGTTTTAGTCTCCTCGAGGCCTCCAGCTCCGAATCCTCCACGTATTCTTCAAAAACCAGAATAATCGTTGAAGACACTAGAAGAGCGCATATCAATAGGAGCATTCGACGGGTGGTGCATGACTCAATCATCGTCTGAAGATGCCGTAACTTCCATTTATTTACCTTACTCGAACGCGTCGCGGAAGTAAAAAAACAAATACATATTAGGAAGCGGGGAGTCTAACTTAAGGTAACTCTAATATTATGGTAGCTGCTGTAAAAAGACGGCTAATTCTGGTGTTACTAGTAAGCTTGAGTGGGCTAGGCCACGGTAGAATCGAGGATGACGACGATGACAACTCGAGGACTGGATTTATGGCTTTTCAAACTTTCAGGCCTCTATGGGACACGCCTGGAATTGAGGCCACAACTAAAGGCGACAAGGACGAAGAAACAAAGCTAAAAAGTAAGTATCTGGCAATGCCCATTGGCAATTATAACCCACAAATGATCGTGATCCACCGTCGTAAACGGTTAGATAATTTAAGAGCTGGACAGGTTATCCAAAAAGGGTTGGTATATGAACCTTATAGTGGGGGACCTGATCCAGTGGCAAAAAACGGATTTTGCATCCGGGAAGTATCAAAAATGTGGCAAAATGCTTCCCTCTCCAAGTGAAAAAACCCCAATTTCAAAAGGCGCGCCCTTCAAAACGAAGTTTTTTCACTTGGAAAGGGAAGCATTTTGCCACATTTTTCATACTTCCTGGATGCAAAATGGCACGTTTTTTGCCACTGGTCCTTCACTATTTAAATGGCCAGCCCAAAAAAGTTAAATTGCTTGCCAATTCATCCAAATCGCTAGCCAAGAGCCTCCGCCAACTGTTTGGCTAACGATTTAGATGATTTGACGAGCAATATAACCTTTTTGGGCTGCCATTTATAAGATTTTTACACCAACCCTTTCTGGATACCCATTTCATCCCTTAAATCAGCTAACCGTTTACGACAACGGATCACCGTCTTTTGAAGTTCATCATGGTAGGTCATAATCGCAAGTATCTGCCTTATACTGTCATGTAAATATTGCAGAATCAAAGTCTGACGACAAGGAGGAGAAAGATCCCAAAGAGGAAAAAGATCCCAAAGAAGAAAAAGATCCCAAGGAAGAGAAAGATCAATTCGTTTCCAATGCCGATTTCCTCTCAGAATTCAATCAACCTACCTCCAATTTCAATGCTGACCCCTTCCGCTATCCCCAACCGAATCCCTGCATGAGTTTGCCAGCTCAATGTCCGCCGCCACCACCTTATTCATGCGGATGCCCAGCTCCTCCTCCACCGCCCCCTAGATGTGTCCCTAGATTCTGTCCGCCCCCTCCGTTATGTCCACCACCTCCTCCGCCAGTTTTCTGTCCCCCTCCACCTCCTTGTATGCCAAGACCTTGCCCTCCACCACCTCCTCCACCGCCACCACCACCAATGCCACCTTGCTCATGTATGCCAGCACAATATGTCCCACCGGTAAGTTGATGAGAGGCTAAAATCTATCAAATAGCACTCAAAACGACCTAAATGTCATATTCTTTAAGAATGACTGCTGCGCAAACTGCCATCGGCCATGCAAAATGAAAAAATCGAAGTTTATGTTAGCCATGCAAGGTGCTCGGACTCTGACCCCAGAATTGGAACAAAGAACTGCAATGTGCAATAGTTATATACTGCGAAACATAATCGGAGAGGTAAGTAACTTAATCGACAAGTTGCCAAATTTTAGAACATATCCCACGACATTGATCAAAGCAAAAGATCCATTCAATTTGAAGCAGAAAAACAATTAGGAAAGCCGATAAATGTAATTTGCGGGCATGGAGAGTTCTCTTTCACAATTCACACAGACCTCTACTGCCAATACTCGTTCTATGAAGTGTCTTGTTACGCGTATCAACCATAAAATTGAAAAATTTAGGTAATAACTTGATATCAACAAGTGTAATGTCCGAAATCCCAAGTAATACACCGTTTATACATTTATTTACCCGATAAAATACTTTACACCGACTTTGATCTATTTACCGATACGCTGAACCGCCCAGTCCTGTTGACAAAGCGGGCATCTGTTGTTTTGTTTGATCCAAAGGGACATACAACAATTGTGGAAGCAGTGGTTACATTCGCCCCAGGCAACCACACACTCTTCTTGTTTAGCATCTGATTGGCATCGAAGACACGTTTCTAAATTCGGAATCAATAAAAAGAGAAGAGAACTTACCCATTAGCTGAATTCTGCAAATAGCGCAAGTATCACATTCCACATCCCAATTCCATGTGGCGATTGCATTCCATTTCTTCAAAGTGAACATTTTTGGCTCGGCTTGAGCTGCTGGAGACTCGGAGGTATCCATACTTGACATTTTTTGAGGTTCCGAGCGAGTAATCCACGAATTTCGCAAATAATCTCGAGAAAAAATATTTTTTTGAGGAGAAAGCGAGACTTGACTCATTGCGTCAAGTCTTGCTTTTTTCTTATTCTGGCCAGGGGTGGTCAGCGGACCCTATTTTTCCGATTTTCGGCCCGCGGCCCGGCCCGTCTAGTCTTTTTCCAGGCCCGGCCCGGCCCGGCCCGTGCAGGCCCGTTTATAGAGGGTTCTGCGAACTGCGCCCAAGCTTGGGATCTAAACTTAGGCAAAAAAGGCGTTGATATAGCTAGTAAAGGATCAATGTGATAGTTTTGTGGTTTTATAATGGAACTATAGACTTGTAAACGTTTTAGAACTTGAGAAACAGCAACTATAACAACATCAATTAATTTTCCCGGCGCGAAAACAATGAATGCCAACGGTTTGGCATTGTAATTTAGACGGGCCGGGCCGGGCCGGAAAAAACCCCAGGCCCGCGGCACGTCAAGAAAAAATAAAAGAAAAACGGGCGCCCAATGAAAAAGCCTAGAATTTTTTTTGGCATTCTGCCCGGTGCAAATCCGTTTTTGTCCAAATGGTTTGCAATATTTTGACATAAAGATTAATAGTAAATCACAAGATATTGATACCAATAGAAAGCTCGAGAGCTGCTTAAGCTAATAGAATCAAAATATACCCATAATCATAGTATTTTAACAGTCTTCCAAGGCGAAGAAAACAACGTCTAAATAAAATTTTGTATCGACGATACCGAGTCAGAGAGCGCTGGAAGGAGGTATAGACTCCACGTCAAAAAAATCCTTAAACTATTCTTCGAGTATCTACATCGGTCTCGTCCCGCTTGATGGGACAGTTTTTTTGATATTCGGCCTTGAAATTTGCACTATTTTTAGCCTAGCTCGAACTGTGTTCAAAAAATGCGTCACGATGACACCCATTCAGAATGTGCCAGTGGTATAAAAAACAGTTGTATACGACTAGTAATACTCCCTAGAGCTCCCATAAAAAAAATTAGGTTAAACATTGTTGTTATGTGCAATTTGGATGACAGGTTTTATGAATTTTTTTTCGCTGTGAGAACCTTTGCAATGCCCGAAATTTCTTGACGTGCGCGGCCCGGCCCGGCCCGGCCCGTGACGGGCCCGGCCCGTTTGTAAATTTCCATTTTTGAGCCCGGCCGGCCCGTTTGGGCCGGGCCGGGCCGGCCCGTCACGGGCCGGCCCGTTTGGGCCCACTGACCACCCCTGATTCTGGCTTGAAAGGTAAAATACGAGGTGAACTGAGACAAATGTGAATAAATAACAGTTTTATTATAAATTTAACGTGTTGTATGTTATTTTATATTACAATTTATTTACATATTTACAAAAATTCTGGATTAAAACGCAAATTGTTTTAGCAAAAACGTATAAAACGCGGAGAGACAGATTGTGATGGGCAAAGTCAGTACCCACGACATTACAATCGACCGGAACACCGACCAATTCACTCCTTCGCCGGCTTTGATCGTTCCCACTGCAACTACGGACCCGACCAGCGAATGCGTCGTCGAAATTGGGAGCCCAAGTTTGGCAGCGAGAACGGAGGTCACAGCCGCTCCGAATTCGATGGTAAACCCGGAAGCGGGATGGACATGGGACATTTTGGTCCCGACCACCTTGATGATACGATGGCCGAGGACCCAGAGCCCGATAACGATCGCGGAGACCCCGAAAACGAACACCCAGATGGAGACCGGCTGTTCTTGCTTGACGCTGGCCTCTTGATAGACCGCCAGCATGGCGGCTAACGGCGCTATGGCGTTGGCAACATCACTGGCTCCATGCGCGAACCCCGCGAAACAGGCGGTGAACACTTGGATGGTCGAAAACAGACGGAGGGCATGTTCATCTTCCTCTCGGTGTTTTACAGGCAGAAGCCAATGGAAAAATTGCCTAGGACGGAGACCAAAAGTTTGTTTTTCCACCACACTGTGGGCTGGAAGGGGCAATGGACTACCATTCAGTTTGATTTCAATGTCCACGGGGATTACAGTTGGCTCTGAAAAAGAAATTTTAATTTATCAGATGACCATCTGAAGGTGAATATAAAATACAGGGTGACCCAAAATAACGGAGACAAAAGATTTCCCGTTTTTTCTGCGACTTATGAAGATTCATGAGTGATTCCTTATTTATACTACAGTACCACGTTAGTGTAGTTTTATATACCGGAAGTTTTGTTGTACGACGCTTTTGTGCCTTGAACCACATGAATATATCCGGTCGACTCGGACCTTTCTGCCCGTGGGGTCTTTTTGCAAGAAAGCTGCCTTACTCAAAAAAGAAAATTCGGAATAGTTTGATATTTGTTGTGCTTAATTATCATAATATGGCCTTTAAAACGAGCCATCGTACTAAGCTCAACTATCGATGGTTCAAAAGTTACAGCCGAGTATTTTCAGGCAGTTGAAGTGCAAAAATCGGCCTTTTTTGAAAATGTAGGCGTAAAAAGGAGCTTAAACGTTAGATAAGGCAAAATGCAATATGAGTTACTAGAACATGATTAAAGGAACACCATAGAACCAAAAGAGAAACATTTTGTAACTTCTACGGAATGCTATTTGGTAATCACTAGGATTATGCCTTATTTTTGCCGTAGGCGGAATACCAGTCGAGCCGGTGACACATAAAGACCGAAAGTGCCCTAGGCGGATTCTCAAGAGTCGTATTCATAAGTGTACAGGAGCAGAATGCGCCGTTTTTATCTACCTTGTCAATTTGTTATCGATAACCCATCTTTCTCAAAGCCGCGTGCCATGGGGTAGTTCTGGGCGAGAAACTTGTTAAGGAAAATCTGTTGCAACCAGCAAGCAATCACAGCGTTTTCCAGAATTATTGTATTTATGAATAGAATACGTTCTAGCGGTTTTAGCTTTATTCTAAAAAAACTGAATTTTTTATGGAAAAAATTTGGAAAAAGTTGCGATCTTCAATGTTGAGATCGGTACCACCGTAGAAATAAAAACCGTAGCCCAGAAACCTACATAACTGCTTGCTTAGAGACGTAGTAGTCTAGCAAAACAAATGAACTTGCCATTTCTACGGCTGTAGTACAGCCATGCTCTACACAACACAAAGGAACCAAAATTGAGGGCCAAAAAAACGGCGCAAGGCATTTTTGTTAAGCTGTAACTTTTTACTGCGACATGATGACTCCGCCAAATTTTCGTGAATTATAGAGAAAGTCTTATAGAATATTACCCATTGTCGCTTGTGTTTTTATAACGCCCGGGTTTCGCGGTGGGACCCTTCAAAAATTTGTCTCCGTTATTTTGGGTCACCCTGTATTCCCAAAACTCACTGTTTTTCGCGTTTTTCTTGTCGTTTTTGGCAATGTAGTTCAACAAAATGGGCCGAAGGACAAATTGGGAAAATGCGGCGACCAGACAACCGGCCAAAATTGCAATCAGAAGTGCCCAAACGAGATCAACCGACTCCAACCCAAGGATTTTGCTGCCTTGGAAGACAACATTGAATGTGTTGAAGGCAATGCAGAAGAAATAAAAGAATGGTAGGAGAATAAGCCCATTTTTGACAGGATCCTTCCTTCGGAGTACAGTAATATCAAGGAGAATGTAAAAACAACCCGAAATCAGAGCGGAGAACAACGGAGAGATCACCCACGAAGCCATGATTCTGTAGATGACACTCCAATCAATTCCGGCCGTTCCTTTCAGCGCCAATGAGAAGCCAACGGTCGCTCCGACAATCGAGTGGGACGAAGAGACGGGTAGATCGAGAGCTGTGGCCGTCATCAGCCACGTACTACAACCTCCGAGGACTCCGAGTTGTCCCAAGAAGAACAATCGCTCCTCGCCCTCGTAGATGTTCACATCAACCACTCCTTTTCGCATAGTGTCGACCACATTGTAGCCGACCAGCAAAGCACCAGCAGTTTCGGCTACAGTTGCTAAGGAATAGGCTTGATGGACGGTTAATACTTTTGATCCGACTGAAGTTCCAAACGCATTTGAGACGTCATTAGCTCCGAGAGAGAAGCCCAGAGCAAAGGCAAGAACTGCACCGACAATTAGGATCCAAAGAACTTGTTGCTGCAAAAAATGACGAGATTTCACCCGTGCGGAAACTATCAGTCTGTCGAGAAAATAATGAGGCTTCTGTCTCATCGAAAATTATTTTCCCAACAACCTGATACTGTGTTGGATTTGATACGGTCGACAGAAAGGTCGCAATGGAGATCAAAAGACCCCAAATTTGATGTCATACGTCACCTCTGGGGACGTATGACATCAAAAAAAGTTTAGTTGATTTTGTATCGACTTTTCCAACGGACTAGAGTCTGTCGGGAAAATAATGTGGATTCGTCGCGTCTTGGAACCGGTTATCATCGCTATGCGACGGCTGGGAGACTTTTCGCGACAAGAGGAGAAATTTTGATGCGATAAAGCCAAATTATTTTCCCGACAGAATGATATACAGACCAAAGCAATAATGACGTCACTCACCTGAAACTCCGATAACGACAGTGTACTGGTAATAACAGATTTTATGGATGTCACATCCATCCTACAACAAACTTCAGCACCTTTGAGCGACTAACAAATTATTTAGCGGCTGGCTGTTCCAATATCACGCTTTCAATCTTTTTAGCACATCGTTACTATCAATAGCCCGTCTGAATGGACCGATTTAGCTTCTAAATTCAGGTTGCTTACGCAAGCGATGATTCCCTCACTCAAAATTCGCATCCGCACTTTGTCAGCTGGAACCATTTATAACAATTTTTATTGACTCGAAAAATTCGGACACAGTCCCGACGTTGAAATCCATTCATATTTCGGCGAACTTGAATATATTGTCGCGTGAAGGGGAGGCTCGTCGGAATAGCACAAAGCACAGAATTAAGAGGGTACGCTATGTAAATCACGTGTGAAATACGTAAATCATCGGCAACTCTCTTGTTCTTGGTACCTTGAAGTTTGGAAGGGATTTTTCCGAACTCGTCTCGGTTCCAGTTGACACCGATTGACAAAGGACACAGTGGGGAACCTGATCCAGTGGCAAAAAACGTACCATTTTGCATCCCGGAAGTATCAAAAATGTGGCAAAATGCTTCCCTCTCCAAGCGCAAAAACTCCATTTTCGAAAGCGCGCCCGCTCTTTTTGTGAGGAAAAGTGCGCACGCACTTCAAAACGAAGTTTTTTCACTTGGAAAGAGAAGCATTTTGCCACATTTTTGATACTTCCGGGATGCAAAATGGTGCGTTCTTCCCCACTGGATCAGGTCCGTCAATGAACGAGCCCGTTCGCACGGGCTTGAAACCACTTTGCGGCAGCTAGAAATTCTCCACATTAAGGCAACTAAAATTTGATTCAACAATATATTTTTATTATTTTCGTCAATTATTGTGTAACAAATTTTAAATATATAAATTTTTTGAGGGTGACAAAGTGAAACGAAAAGGATTATGACTTGGGTTTAAAAGAATAAAACGTTGCAGATGGTTCATTTACAAGTCCATTGTAATTGACTTTCGCATCAGGATCATACCTTCTATAGTAAATTCCACACTTTTCTCTCAATAAGGAAGGCAACCCATCGAGTTGAAGCCCTATCTTCCAACCATGCGCAGGTTCAAGTACTCTATTGGCCGCCCACCAACACGGGTAGACGTTGTACGATATTTTGAATTTACTATTGTTGAAAATCAAATACGACGATACCCCTTTGGCCGTATAGTCATCGACGGGTGTGATGGACACATCCAGAATGTTCTCTAAAAGTGGAAAGTAATAATTTCACGACTTTTACCTTTGAGCTCTGAATCTTCAATGTCCTTGAAGTCGTAATACAGGATTTCGTTGCATTTCACGAACAAGAGTGACAAATCCAGTGTATCAGCCACTCGCCAGCTCTCCCGGGCTTCTTCTTTTGTCAGTCGATCAATCATCTCCAGCTCGCACTGGTCCTAGAGATCAAGAAATTAATTTGAAAAAAATATCATGAACAATATGAGAAACCAGCCAAGACTCAAAATTTTTGATCATCCTAGTTCAAACATTTTTATATTCCATCTACAGGTAAGGCTACTAACCAAAAAAGCAATCGTATTACGCAATACTCACCTTGAGTTCATTGATTTCGTAACGATGTGCGAGATGAACAACTTTCCTCGCCAATTTGTTTCCTTTCACCTTCTTGTACATGTAAATATATCTGAGCATCGCTTTCACAGCGTCTGCATCATCCTGTAGCTCCAAGAAGCCTTCATTCGTCTCCTTCATATCATAATTGAACATTCTTTGGAAGACCTCGGACTTGAGAGCCAACTGATGTTTTGTTACCTAAATTTGGAATAAAACAACGAGAAAGGCGGCTTACATAGAACGTCTTCGGTCCTGCTTTGATTTGGAAGTCGCTGAACCGGGGATTATTGAATAAACAATCCTCCTTCTCCGGGTTCTTGTTCACCTTCTCTGTAAATCAAGATTATGAAAAAAATTGCATAAAAATTTACGAAAGACTACAAATCGTCTATGGCGCTACAAAACGGAGTTTGTTATCGCCTTCGAAGCAAAATCTGCCATCTGTTCCTATATAAGAAATCGACACTCACCATGAAACACATTAGCAATCAACTTGATGGTAAAACTCACCTCTCAAAGCGTTTACTTGGTTCTCAACTTCTAGTTTACGTGAACAACAACTGTTCGACATTCTGACAGCAGAAAAGAGGTCAATTGGTCGAAAAAATCGCCCAGCTTTCCGAAAAATTTTCGCAGAGCAACAGTTGACTCAATTGAGTCAACTCTTTCTCCACTCCAGATGCGCAGGGGTGGTCGGCGGGCCGCACTGCGGGTCGGGTCAAGTTTTTTTCATGGGGTGGTCAAGTCTTTCCCCTAATATTATTTTTTCCCCGAAATTCAGACTGTTATATGGGAGGTTAATCAAGGTAAATCTGGTCAGTTCTTGTTGATTATTTCAAGAACAAGTCTTATTCTATTTTTAGAAATCAAATTTGATTGAATTACGGTGTGGGTTTGCCTCAATTTTTAGCATTCTTTGGGGGTATGTATTCTATACCTAAATGATCAATTGTGAGACAGTTTCAAGTCTGATTTACGATATCGTTTCCATTTCACCTTCGGACGTACGCCACCTGTCCAATAAAGGTAAGTAACTGTGAATCTGGTAGTCCGTTTTCTAGTAATTAAAGATTTTGTATATTATACTAGGTACTTTTGAAGATTTTTGTTGAGATTTGCCAAGTTTTCGGCCTGGATTAGATTATTTAGCGTAATATTGGTCTCTAGTGCCTATAAAAACGTAAGTGGACAGGTTTCTCCTTCTCTTTTAGACTTTTTCTTTGTGTCCAAAGTTGATCCAGGTTTTAGGTAGAGATGAAATTCAACGCCCAAACTATGCGGAATTTTCATAAAAATCAAAGAAAATACTTTCGAGGATCATCAAGCGAAGCAAAAATGTGTTTGAGGCCAATCTAGCGTTTTTTTCAGGCGGATGTTATACATGATCCCTGTAACGTATAACGTCTGGATCACATCTGTGAAGACCTCTGGTGATGGAAAACGTGGTTAGGACAGTAAAATTAATATGTTGGACGTGATTTTGAGGGAAAACCAGGCAAATCCCGTACAAAATTTTCTGAATAACCTAGAATAATATACAAAATCTTTAATTACTAAAAAACGGACTACCAGATTCACAGTTACTTACCTTTATTGGACAGGTGGCGTACGTCCGAAGGTGAAATGGAAACGATATCGTAAATCAGACTTGAAACTGTCTCACAATTGATCATTTAGGTATAGAATACATACCCCCAAAGAATGCTAAAAATTGAGGCAAACCCACACCGTAGTTCAATCAAATTTGATTTCTAAAAATAGAATAAGACTTGTTCTTGAAATAATCAACAAGAACTGACCAGATTTACCTTGATTAACCTCCGATATAACAGTCTGAATTTCGGGGAAAAAATAATATTAGGGGAAAGACTTGACCACCACATGAAAAAAACTTGACCCGACCCGCAGTGGGCCGGGCCGGCCCGGGCCGGCCCGGCCCGGCCCAAACGGGCCGGCCGGCCTCAAAAATGGAAATTGACAAACGGGCCGGGCCCGTCACGGGCCGGGCCGGGCCGCGGGCCTGGGGTTTTTTCCGGCCCGGCCCGGCCCGTCTAAAATACAATGCCAAACCGTTGGCATTCATTGTTTTCGCGCCGGGAAAATTAATTGATGTTGTTCTAGTTGCTGTTTCTCAAGTTCTAAAACGTTTACAAGTCTCTAGTTCCATTATAGAACCACAAAACTATCACATTGATCCTTTACTAGCTAGATCAACGCCTTTTTTGCCTCAGTTTAGATCCCGAGCCTGGGCGCAGTTCGCAGAACCCTCTATAGACGGGCCTGCACGGGCCGGGCCTGGAAAAAGACTAGACGGGCCGGGCCGGGCCGGTCAATTAGACGGGCCGGGCCGCGGGCCGAAAATCGGAAAAATAGGGTCTGCTGACCACCCCTGCAGATGCGGCAGAGTGCTCATTATTTTTCCGACAGACTGATGCATCATGATGCAATCTTCTGCCAAACTCTCTGCATGCGGAAATTATCGGCTGGAAATGGAGTTTATACCCACTTTCAGCGGTTGAAACGAGATTTCCGAGCGGAATTTCAAAAGATTTTAACGTATTTACTCTACCAATTGAAATACGCAAATATTTTCTAATTTCGAAATTTTTCGATACGAACATGCGTTAGAACTTGTAGATTTGTCGCATGTTGTAAACAGCGTTTGTTTGCAAGCCTGCAAAACTCTCTTACTTACCATAATCCCCACTTATTTCTTGGGATACCAACTTCCAACCTTTCCTCTGAGCGAATTCAGTTTTATTTCAAGGAATACAAGTCTGATGTGTATGTGAATTATTACAACAATCAACCGAATAAATGATATGCATTATACGTTGGGGACACCCAATAACTGAGATATGAGGAAATGGAAATACTAGCTTAGTAGGCAACAAGTTTCAACAAGAAGGTGAACAACGCCGAGAGACCGATGGTGATGGGTAGGGTGAGGAGCCAGGACAGCACGATCGACCGGAAAATGGACCAGTTCACGCCTTTGCCGGCCTTGATGGTGCCGACCGCCACGACGGATCCGACCAGCGAATGCGTCGTGGAGATGGGAAGGCCGAGTTTGGAGGCCAGGATTGAAGTGACGGCGGCGCCGAACTCGATCGTGAAGCCGGAAGCGGGATGGACGTGGGACATTTTGGTGCCGACCACTTTGATGATTCGATGGCCAAGCACCCAGAGGCCGATAACGATTGCCGCAACTCCAAAGACGAACACCCAGATCGAAGCCGGCTGCTCTTGTTTGACGCTGGCCTCTTGGTAGACCGACACCATCGCAGCTAACGGTGCGATAGCATTGGCAACGTCATTGGCGCCATGGGCGAAGCCAGCGAAACAGGCGGTGAAGACTTGGATGGTCGAGAAGAGACGGAGAGCGTGCTCATCCTCCTCACGATGCTTGACGGGGAAGAGCCAGTGAACGAACTCCTTCGGCTTCAAGCTGAAGTGTTGTTTGTCCTCCTCGCGCACCACTGGAGCTGGCAGAGCGGCGGAGGCGGGCTTGACGGCATCCGCATCAACTGGGACCACGGTGGCTTCTGAAAACGACCCGTAGACTAATCAGTTCATTGGAGTTAGTGTTCGAGGTAAAAAATGGTTAGTCAGTCATAAAATAAGGAAGTAGATAAACTTACTGTTGGTAGCTGGCTTTTGATCCGCCTTGGCGATGAAGCGCAGCAACAGAGGGCGAAGAATGAACTGGGAGAAGAGAGCTGCCAGCACTCCAGCGATAGTGGAGATGATGAAGGCCCAGAGAAGGTCGACCGACTCCAATCCAAGGATTTTGCTGCCTTGGAAGACGACGTTGAAGGTGTTGAAGGCAATGCAGAAGAAGTAGAAGAATGGAAGCAGGAAGAGACCATTTTTGACGGGATTGCGACGCCGGAGCACGGTAATGTCGAGGATGATGTAGAAGAAGCCGGAGACGATGGCAGAGAAGACCGGAGAGATGACCCATGAGGCCATGATTCTGTAGACAACACTCCAATCAATTCCGGTGGTTCCTTTCAACGCCAACGAGAAGCCAACGGTCGACCCGACAATGGAATGGGACGAGGAGACCGGAAGATCAAGAGCCGTGGCCAGCATCAACCAGGTACTGCAGCCTCCGAGGACTCCGAGCTGTCCCAAGAAGAACAATCGCTCTTCACCTTGGTAGATGTCCACATCAACCACTCCTTTTCGCATGGTGTCGACCACATTATAGCCAATTAAGATTGCACCGGCAGACTCGACAACAGTGGCCAACATGTAGGCTTGTCTTATGGTCAATACTCCTGATCCGACTGAGGTTCCGAAGGCATTTGAGACATCATTAGCTCCGAGAGAGAAGCCCAGAGCAAAGGCGAGGATCGCACCGACGATTAGGATCCATAGCACCTGATGCTGAAACAAAAAATTTGTTAGTTCAATCCTAAAGAAATGATGACCAAAAGTAAAAAAGCTCTGCCTCGGCCAAAAGAAATGGCCAAAAACCCACCTGGAAGTCGCTGATTGAGATGGTTGTTGTGATGAGCGATGCAACCGAGGTCACGTCCATTTTAGTCGATGATGGCACCGGAGACGTTCAACAACGAAGTGGGCAGTTGAAGACCTTATTTTGAGTACCCAAGGTCACCTGAAAAATAAAATAAATAAGAGTTTGATAGGATAAAAAACATTTCAACGCGGGAATCCACGAAAAATGGGTTCAGCGGTGAAGGCGTTGGCCTTGGAACAGCGGCTGAGACGCGCGATAAAAACTGCTGAAGTCGAGATGGGGTTTAGACGTTCTTTTGTTGACTGAGAAGGGGAGACCAAATGGGGCGAATTTTTTGGGAAGAAAGTGAAAGGATAGTGACAAATTGGACTTTCTACAGCGACACTCGTCTACTTGGCGAGCCAAAAAGTCTTTACATGTTTTCGCACGGTGCGGGCGGCGTCGCAAAGTGGCTCTGCAATCAGCACAGTGCAAATGATGACTTTTACTCGTCACAAGTTTTTCGCGCGACGGCGCACCGTGCAAACATGTCAAAAGTTTTTAGCCCTCCTAGTACAGCAACAACTGCCTGTAAGGAAGCTTATGGATCCCCGCTTGATGCGATTTGCAGACAGAACCTCAGAACTTCAGACCACAAATTTTCAAAGGAACCGCAATTTTTTTATATTTTCAAAAACATTCCAACCGCTACCTTAATGTGTCAATAATCCCGTCAAAGGCTCCTATTCAAATCGCAATCGTCAAGAACACGGCCCGTTCAAACACACAACCTAATTTTTATACCCGTTCAGGTAATAAAACCGCCCAAGCCCCTCCCCGAAAAAGGGAGCAATAATAAAAATGGGCGATCAGAAAACAACCCCAACCACGTCGGACACGGGAGTTCACTCAAAACACTCCAAAAAAGCCCTCCGGAATCGATGGATTTGCCTCGGTTTAAAGGGTTGAGGGATCAGTTTAGATACTAGGGATGCTATATATTAGTTTGTCGGGAAAATAATGAGCCCTCTGTCGCTGTGCCAATCGCGTCGCTCAAGTGAAAAAAAAAAATGATTTTTTGTGACACAATTCATTTCTTCGTCAGCGATGTAATTGTTGATGCGACAAAGTGCCCATTATTTTCCCGACAGACTGATAGAAACTATAATCAATTCGAAGATATCAAAAGGGACAAGAACCAAGCCCTAAGGCCATTCATGTTGTTGAAACAATTTGTTGTTTCCCAACGATTTCAAATGTTTATATATGGAAGAATGTTTCAACGTCCCCTCCCCCTTTTTTCTCGCAGACGCAGTGTAATCAGAGTTGTTGTAAAGAAACACAGTCATCGTGAAGGGGGATGCTCGTTATTCTGTCAATGAAAAATGACCGAAAAGTTCAACTCGAAAGGGGGTTTATGGTAATAAGAATGTGCAGTTGCACTTCCCTTAGCGGCAATTGCGTAATGACAGAAAATGAAACAAAACATAGCTTTGAAAAACGGGAATTCAAGACGCTTTTAATGAACACAATGATGAATATGATTAAATCTCGCGTTGCTCAAGGTGCACTTCAAATTTTGCCCACATGCTCTGTCTAGGACATCCATCAGTCTGTCGGAACAATGATTAGCCCCTCTGTCGCATTGAAAATCGCATCGCCGCGGAGAAAATGAATTGTGTCGCGGAAAAATAGTAGGCGCCCATAAAGTCCGAATTTTTTCAGCGACAGCAGTTGCGGGGGCAAAAAAAGCTTTTTAAAACTGGGAAATTTTATACAAATTTTTTGGAACGACTAGTGATTTTTGACGTGTGCAAGTTTACCATCCCTATTCTCATTCGCGTAAGAGTACTATATTATAATTGGCGTATTTCCGCCCAGGGGCATATTTTACAAGGAAAGTACTTTTATGGGGGCTCCTACTTTTTGACGGGACATATCTCAAAAAATCAGAAAAAATGTGCTGATCAAGAATATATAGATCTTAGCTGCCCATTTTAGGTTTTTAGGGGTGAAAACTCAGTCGGAAGTTGACTTAAAGTCCTGTATGAACCCCTTTTCGCTTAATTTTTTCAAAGGTTTACAATTTTTATTTTGGCTTAAAATGGTGTTTATTGAGTTTCTAAGACGTAATAAGACAGTCTTGGCCCAAAAATTTATTTTTCCGACCTTCAACTTCAAAAAAGTTGATTCAGCCCAAAAGGGAAATCGAACCTGTGCGGCGTCCCCCCTCTTGATTCCCAGACTACGGCACTAACCACTCGGCCACACCGCTCTCTTCCGAAGGAAGAGATCGAGTGCTCTTTTTATCGTTTCGAATGTCTGCCTTTTGTAGGGAAATTAAGGCAGTTTTTTGGCATTTTCACCCTTAAAAACCTAAAATGGGCAGCTAAGATTTATACATCCTTGATCAGCGCATTTTTTCTGATTTTTTGAGATATGTCCCGTCAAAAAGTATTAGGTTGGGGAATAAGTCCGCAACGATTTCTTTATTGCCTCGTCCTGCAACGATTGTTTGTTGTTTGGAAAAGTTTATATATGCATTCGAAAGAGTTCTGTCTCCTCTACAAAACTGTGTTTTTAGTTTTTTTTGAAATTTAATTTTTACTTATTTTTTGGGCTTAAAAGTGAACCATCTAGGAGGCAAAAATTTGCTTTTTCGACACCTGCTTTTTTCGCCGAGCAGCACGTGGATGCAAACGGCGGTCTTTGTATCGAATCATCATCGGTGATGAAAATGGTATCTGTACGTCAATATAAAGCAAAATGTTGACTGTTTCCTGGAGTGTGTGGCCCCAGGGGACAGTCAAGCAAGATCCCCACCCAAAAGGCCATGATCTGCATTTCTGGGGACTGGGGAGGCATGGTGCATTGGAACATGCCTCAAAAGAACGCCACTGTCAACAAGGAGCTCTATGATGCCCAACTACACCTCGAAAATGGGGCTATCCGACTGAAATCAAGGCCAAGTCATCTTGCTCCACGAGTCATCTTGCTCTCATGTTGCACAAGTCGTCAAAACCGCCCTACATGAGTTCGAATGGGAAGTTATTTAGCATCCACCATACTCTCGGACCTTGCGCCAACCGATTACCACCTTTTCCGCTTTCTGTCAAACCAAATCCGAGGTGAAAAATTCTATGGCGAAGAGGACCTCAAAAACTTTTTAAGCCCAAAAAATTATAAAAAATTAAATTTTCAAAAAAACTAAAAACACAGTTTTGTAGAGGAGAAAAAACTGTATCAAATAATATGTATACCCTTTGCCAAACAACAAACAATCCTTGCAAAACAAAACAATAAAAAGCTCTACGAACTTATTCCCCAACCTAATAGGAGCCCCCATAAAAGTACTTTCCTTGTTAGTACACGTTCTCAAATGGCGGCCTTCAAAGCTCTTCTTTAAAGGCTTCTTATCTGTCTGTCGGGAAAATAATGAGCACTCTGTTGTACGAAAATCGCATCGCCGCCGAGAAAAGAAATTGTGGAGCGACTAGCAAATTTGCTGTTCACTTCGACGGCGCGAACAGTGCAGCAACATTTCGCTCATTATTTTCCCGACTTATTGATGAGTTGCTTAAAATTAAATCGCAAATTCTTCAGAAAGCCCTGAGGTATTCAGGCCATGTATTCTCAGAGTTCGGCAGGTGACTTTTGTAGAGGTATTGTCATCATCGGCCTGTCGGGAAAAGGAAAATAATGAGCGCTGCGCCAATCATGTCGCTGAGGTAAAAAGCAACTTGATTTTGCCGTGACACGATCCATTTTCTCAGCGGTGATGCTATTTGCGATGCGACCGAGTCCTCATTATTTTCCCGACATACTGATATGGCCTTAGTGATCACTCTTCCAAAAAGACCTCATTATTTTCCCGACAAAGAGATATACATGTTACACTATGATAAATCTATTGCTCTCGCATTACTTTTAGACCCATGGATATTGCCTCAACCCCATGTTTGTACAAAACCTTCAAGCTATCTTGTCTTCGATCTCATTTCCCTCTTTTTCATTGCTCGCACAAAATCTTCACGTGCTCTCAAAAGAAAGCGACGTGACGTCGCATTCGCTGAACTCTCGCCGACTGTTCATTGATATCCGAAACGAATCGGCGGAAGAAGAGTGGTGACTAAGTGTGGCGACATCAAGTTTGTTATTGTAAAAGCACAAGTGACCCGAATTACGTGACGTTTCCGGCGACGGAAATAAACAAAAAGAAAGCAAAGGGGTTCGGGTCAGGTGGGTAAAATAAACAATGACTCAGGGGGTCTGCGAAGTTACGGTAAGGGCTCTAACTGCGCTAAAATATGAAGAACAGTGGATAGATTGATCACACTGCTTTATAGAATATGCATACTAGAAGTAAAGCGCAATAAATCAAAGTATTTAAAAAGTGCTTGAAAAAGAAAATTGATAATCACAGTGATTGAATATCACAGGGAGTACCCAAAGTGCGACGCTCAGATTTTCTTTAAATTTTACACATACAACAGGCATATGTCACATATCAATTCCTGAAAGTTTTAGCTTGCGCTTTGCAGGCGCAGCCATGATATTAAACGAGCTTTGCCGCCGAGAGAGTACGCAAAACGCGGAATGCGGCCAGGGAGCAAAACATTTTTTTGGCCATGACTTTGCCAGTTCAGCGCAGAAAAAATTTGATCATGATTTTTTGGTGGAAATTTTACCCTCTATAGCAGAAATAATCATGAAAGATTTCATGCCAAAATTCGCAAAAAAAAAGTGTTGTATTTTTGCTGACTCGCAATTAAAGAATCTAGGTATAGTATTTCCTGTAGGACGCGCGCTAGCTCTCTTGCATATGCCTTGCATAAAATTAACCTAGATTTACTAGTCGGGACAAAAAGTCCTGATAATTTTGCACCGTGCGGATTTGAACGTTTTGGGTCGTCGCTGCAAAAATCGCGAAAAAAAGTGTTTTGCACGGTGCATTTGACCCGAAAAGTGCATTTGCACAGTGCATTTTTGTTTGTTTTTGCCTTACGTCGCGCGCGATTCCCCATTTTTCGGAGCGACAAATCGTTTTTTCAGAGTGCGACAAAAACCGCGCAAAATCCGCA